CATCCAATTTACAAATTTCCCCATGTTTGCTTATTGTCCGAAATACGTCAGATATGCTTAATTCGCCCTTCAACTGCAGAATTCTGTGCTCGCTCAATGGTCTCAAGTCTAGATGTTCTGGCCTCGTCTCGTCTTGTCTTGTCTTGACCCGTGTCAGGTGTCGTGGCGCGGTGACTGACATAGCACATACTGAGTAAGTTAAACAATATTATGTCACCAACAAGGTCACTGATGACAAAAGTCTGTTAAACTACTGACACAAGCCCAAGCGTATGGGACGATTTAGCCCAGAGGAGATTTATCTGTTCTAATATACGCCCTATGAAGTGTAGCTACTTGAAACCATCCTAAGCCTGAGTTACCCTACATGTTCTATAGCCTCATTGGTAGAATAAATCTCCTGCCGATCGATCGATCGTGTCAACTGAACGAGGCGTATTCTAGAACATGGAATATAGAGAATTAGTGTTTGAAAGGCCATTGTCAGAGTCATGAGCTGCATAAATCAAAATCGAAAATGTCAACATCGTGAAATCGAGCGGCTCCGCGGAAACTGTCTATCCATTAAGCGAGAGGGATTTACTAGAGTACGGGTAGCTGAACTCCATTTAGGGAATGGAGATCGTGGATAGTGAACTAATACAGCCAAGCGCAACCCCGGCTCCGGTTCTGGGCGAAACTTTATTTCTGGCTTCCGCGAATTCACGAGATCTGGCCATTGGATAATATCTTTCCCGTCGAAACAAAAGGGCAATTGTGCCATTCACCGTGAGAAAAAAAGGTCGATATTATTTTGAGGCTGCGTTACCGTCCACGCCAGAGCCATTAGCTACCGGCCCGACGTATGTTAAGTAATGCCACGCTACCAACGGTCAAAACGGTCGTTTTGAGCCTGCATTCCGGTGCTATTGATATGCGAATGTCACCGTAAGCATGACCGTCTCGTCAAGAGGCGAGAAACGGTAGCGAAACAGAGTCAGTGACACCTATTGACAAAGGTAGCATTGTGAGGGAGAGAGTGCAGAGCGAGAGACAGAGAATAGATAAACAATCACACAAATTGGTTTGTGGCGGGGGAAAACCTCCGTACCTTGCTTTATGCTGTGTAAGAGTCTCAGTCTCGGGGTCAATTATACCCTGACGTGCCTCATGCTGCAGATGCAGATGACGCAGGGCCAAGGTTTCGGGAGACCACAGAATCTCCAAAATGGAACAGGAACAGGAACTGCTACAGGGAGCAGGCCCTGAAAAACTGGCTTTCCAGACCCCTGACTATCCCCAGTACGGTGATCTTCTCCCGCCCGCCGTCCGTCAGATCACAAACCTAGATGGCGGGAGATTCACGGCGGGTGTAACAGCGGCTGCGGTGTAACTTCGATCTGGGGGGGAAGCACAGAGCACCCCAAGCCCAAGGAAACAAAAAAGAAAAACGTGCCATATGGCATTTCGGTCGCTCGCATCGTGGAAAGTAGAGTGCATCGGCGATCTCATGGGGCCTGGGCTTAGCTGGTATGATATATAGGCTGCGCAGAGAACCGAGGGAAGTGGACCACGATACTCAAGGGACTGGAGGCTATCCAGATAGAGAGCACTAACAGATACCACCGAGTTTGGATGACATTCTTCACATAGATCAATGTAGGGCAGAATAGCTTACAAAAGCTAACGTAACTGTGTCAGCGGAGACTGACAGCTTCGGGACCCTTGGCCCAGAAGCCGTAGACCCCGGCCGGCCGAGCCCCTCACTCCAAGGCTGCCCGGTCTCCCCCAGGCATGATGAATGTGGGTTTGTCCACGGGCCCGTCACAGTGAGAACCAGATGTGGAGAGTATAGGCTCCTTCAGTTTGCCGTCGGCAAGAGTATGGGCACGTCAATCATTTCTGAATACCGATAAAATATGTTGGCGTTATTATTCCGCTGCCAGTTGAATTACCTTGTTGCAGCCTCCAAAAGCCACAATAATAGCCACAGCAGTCAGTCAGTACCGCCAAGACACGAAGCGTTATTCTCCTTATGGGTCGGGGTACAGTAGTGTGCGTGGTATACTGCTACAATCGTCTGATAACTAGCCTGATAGATAGATTGTCAACCAGGGAGAGTAAGAACAATAGCGTATGATTACCGTAAACAGAGGGAGACAAACACCGAATGGGCAGCAGATGTAACATCGTCTACTCGATACGGGAGTCAAGGGATGCGGCCAAGGCAAGTTGACAGATTGATAAGTTGGTGATAGTGATAGTGCCCAGGTCAATTCGGCAATTCCTGGGCCCGGTGCCCGCAAAGCGCTCTACACAAGGGAACACCATGCACCCAATTGGGCCTCCTAGTGTTCGCATATGGCATTACCAACCAAGCAATCCAACTGTACATCAACGGCACTAGCCCAGAGGGACGAGTGCGTGGAGAAGGACTTTACTGCGCAAGACCACTTTTTGTCTGATTAGACCATCCCCTATGGAGTATGCAGAGTGGGCAGGATTTATGATAGATCACTTAGAGCCCCAACACAAGGTCTCGACAGCTGCTGGGACTTGTGGCGCTTGATATGACACTCAAGACTCTGATTGGTAGGACAACCTGCGGAAGCGTGTCCGCAGCTCAGGTGAGACTATGAGGTTATAAATCTATGATGCCATTATGTGAGATGAAGAAGGAACTCGAACAGCAGATCTGCTTCACGGTCTATCATGCGGGGAATTCAACATTTTCATCACACGAGACACTACGAAAATCCTTCACATATACTAGCATCTTGGCACAGCACATAGTCTTTTTGCTTTGGGGAGCTCGTATACTTTACGGGAGCAACGGCGCTGGAAAGCCGGGCCGGAGATGGATCTACCTTTGGGATAACGGGCTTGGCCTTTCCTCGGCGGGGGGAGGGGCCTCTTTGGTGATCCATCCCATCTGTGTAAGCTGAGGAGGAGCTCTTGTTTGTCAGATCACGGGCCTCGACTCTTCAGCTCTTGAGTTAGCGGAGACGGGAAGCAGGGGAAAACCTGGTATGCATGCCTAAAGTGCTCCCCTCCCCTCTCAGACTCTCACTCTTTTGGCCCTGGCCCTGAGTTAGACAGAGGCTAGGCACGGGAAGAAGTGGATAGTACATGGAAGCATTCGGATTCCCGCTGGGAGCCCGTATGAGATGCTACTCTGCTCGGTATTACCAGCCCAGTTCAGTTCATGGCAGGGCAGGGCAGGGCAGGGCAGGGCAGGGCAGGCAAAGAGACAGGACGAAAAAAGTAACTTACGATGCCGTATGACGAAAGGACTGCAGATATCGGGTATGCAGTGGAATTGGCCCTGTACATGGTGTAAATGAGATGAGATGATGCCACCAGCTGCACGCACTATTCGTTCACTGCTCCAATACTGCAACGTTTTCTTAATATGAGATGCATATGTATAGTAGAAATGATGATGAACACTTTGTTTCTCATCATGGCGGAGACTTTACTAACATCCGCTTCAGACACTGCAAGGGCATTGATGGTGAAATCTTACTCTGGCATATTCCGTTCGTTTAGCAAACAAGCGACCCGAGGCATTGCGTATTGCGTTAGTAGCTCTCGCATCATCCATTTCGGCTAGGTTAAGTGACTGCACATTTCCAAAGTGAGAGCAGAGCAGAAAGAAAAAAAAAAACGATATATCACCAAACTGAAAAACCCTGCCCAGCCCATCTCAGGTGTCTTACCAGCCTTCAACTGTGTATATGTGTGCATAACAAGACGGGGGGCGTGTAATGCTGCCGCACCGATAAGTCTAACTTGGCTGATTTTCAGTGGGGAATAGAAGAAGAAAAGTCAGATCTATGAACGAACGCCAACGCCAACGCCAGCGCCAGCGCCAAACAGCCTCTCCCTCCAATGGCTCCCTCCACTGAAGGGCCCCTGTCCCCTCTCCGTTCCTAGATTTGATTTCTTGGGAGGATCGCTGGGTCGCTCCCCGGAAGATCGCCCGGCACTAGGGGCACTTTGAGAGCTGACACTGCTATTCGCAGGCCCAACCCAAGGCATTGCGCTCTTATCTGCCTCTAGGTAAGGTGCTGTAGCGAGCGAAAGTAGGCCCCGCAGCTACCGTCCCGAGCCTCGCGTCAGTGCTTGCACCAGACACTTGCGCGATGCACTAACTGGACTGTTTCCCTTTGTTGTGACTTCAGTCTCCCAGCTTCCCTTATCACGCCTGGGAACGCGTCCAGGTCGCGTTTTACTGGGGCTAGGGAGCATGAGTGTATAGTGCGCCTCGGTTTGACTTGATGAGCCAAGCAGAGCTAAGATGAGGTAGTAAGGCAAGTGGTTGAGAGGGGCTACTCAACTCAACTCTACCCCTCCTTAGGAATAATTCAATGCCCGGCGGATAATAAACTCGGAGACATTGAAATAAAGAATTGGAGGGCAGTTTCACACTATTGACTATATTACATCTCCTTGAGCAACTCCTTAGATCAAGGAGTTTCAACTCTATCGATAGAGTCAGTTCAGTTGAGTTCGGTCCTGTTATCAGTTTTCAGGGTCAACCGAGCCCCCTCCTCGGCACAATTACAATACCACTTCCAAGCGAAACGGATGCCCTTTGTTCCATTCTCTTCTCTGTGCCTGTCAGTTTGGCAGTCTCTCTTCTCTCTTTTGTCATATTGAGAACCGTGCGCGACTACAATAGAATAGGTAGTTTTAGTGAACAAACTTGACAGGCAAGGCAACTTGTTTTCCTTTCCTCATACGATAGGCGAAGCAGGGGTCCTAACCAGGTTGGCTCACCACGCTCACCTGTCAATGGGAACTTAATTTGTATTCTATGCATATGAACTGTAAGGATAGATAGCGTGGTTGCTCCGCTACCGTCCGATATCTCCATTTTCTCGAGGTGAACTCGAGCCTACTCCATGATGGATATTTGAGTTTAGCCGCTCTGACGTTACATTCTTTTTTGGGTCTGGCCTGGGCATGGCATGGCTGAGTTACCCAGCACCCGGCACCTTTACACCTTCAACAATTGCCGATGCCGCCCTTGTAAAGCTGCAATGCGACTCTACAGCTCTACAGTGCAGTTGGAGTTGCATTCGCAGCAGACCTTCCGATGGTTGGAGTGGATCTGCAGGCCAACAGAGCTCTTCCCGTCCAATGACATCACAAGGAGCCCTCCTCGGATGGAGCTTTTCTATGACCACGTTGTTGGTTTGCAGAGTCAGCATCAGCCGAAAAAAATCAACACTCTGAGACGTTTATCGGATCAGGGTCCACGAAGAAACTCTGCTCGACCTACTCCTTACACTCACTCTATGTACTCAACTCTATCCGTAATGTGCGGATACGAGCACACAGCTCCCGTGCTCTTGCAGTGATGCCCCATCCATCGCCAGGAACACCCGCTGGTCCCTTTCGTTTTGGGTGAGACCTGCACCACGCCTGTGATTGCTTTTCACGAATAGGGCCAGATCACCTTCAATCACTGTACTCCTTTGCTAAACCTTCTCTCCTGCTGACCCACATCTTCACTTTGACTCTCGAGTGAGAGATATCCCACTAATCGTTCCGCTCTCTTGTCTTGTCTTGTCTTGTCTTGTCTCGACACTACTGTGCAGTCTCAAGGGAGTCAAGATATGGGGAAACCAAAAAGACCTTTCGGACGGGTCATGTTTCGCCCAAGAGGTAACACATCCAGGCACGCTCAGGAACATGAACCTTCTGATGGTCTTGGCTTGGGTCCCCTCGACTCGACACGGAGTAGCAGTAGCCCTGTCTCACTTGATGGCCTTTCTGAGCGACATTTCCACTCTCTCCCATTCCAGGCCCTGATCATTCCTAGAGATGATATCCATAACTGTCGGAGGCAAGACAGCTAACAGTTTCTGAATGAGAAGAGACCGACCGAGACGATATGGACGTACATCCGTACATCCTTACACTAGATCTGGGGCACCCACACAATTACCTCAGAAGAGGCTCCCACGCTCTGGGCGTGGCTTACCCATATCTACCTTGACATTGACATTGACAGGTAGGCCCTGTCCTGTGGCACATGTGCGAGATGGGATTATGGAGATGGACATGGACATGGAGGGCTGGCGTCAGTCAGTCCAGTCAGTGACGCCTTTTCTCACCCCGGAGGTTATGTTCATGCAACTCATGCAGGGACCGATATAGTCACTCAACTTACCTCGAGTCTTTCAGGTAATGGGAGAGTTGGCGCCGATGCATCACACACCCACACCCTTTTTCTTTTCCCTGGGATCCGCAGCATGGTCATGGTTAGGCGGCTGCAGGGGTGTCCGTAAAGTTGTGGATTCGAGTGAGGAACCGCCCCAGAGTCAGGGACGTGGTCTAATGACACGCCCCCATCCCAGTCTATACTGCACCCCCCATATACCGACCCTTGGTTCAAGCATATTTCTCGACTGCCATTATACGTGCCTTTGTTCTGGTTCTTCACTTTGTCACTATTCTCCGAGTCCTGCATTACTCAATGCCAGCGTAGTATTTCTTCTCCTTTCACTTTCATAAACTCAACTTCTCGGATCAAGTTCCACGTCTGTATTGGTCTCTTCTCTTGCTGCTGTACAACTAGCCAGCAACTAGTCCAGCTGAGGGCGTTGAGGGCTGAGCGAAACAACCCCAGGGACGCTTGATCATAACTGACACAAATTCATCCAAAACATTGCACTCACTCTATGCGAGCAATAAACCCACTCGCTCAGCTGTGGATCAATCACGCCTCTCCCGTCGCCCTACCTGAACTGTTCCTCTTCAGAGCAAAGATCTCGATTCGTACTGCTCAACTTCTCTCGATCCTTGTTCGCATTCTTGCCCTGGGGGTGTTGGATCATAGCTGTGTCTCGCGGGTTCCCTACTAGCTGCACCGGCTGTGTTCAAGGATCTACGGGTGGTTGAGTTAACAGCTTGACTGTCTCAAGACCCGCAGCTCGATGCTGCGTACCTCATTCCACCTCATCTCTATATCTTCAAGGGCGTCCGTCCTCGAAAGATGAAAAAACATTCCCGATCAGACTCACTCACCAGACAACTGAACAACTTCACTCAACTCTTGATTATTCTTCACAGCCTTTTGAGACCAACCTTGAACACTTTCACCCTTTATTCGAGGTCAACTCAAGACATATTCACATACATCCCATCCCTTACTCATCTATTCTCTCCTTAACACTTCTTCTCATACTCAAAATGCAGTTCGAGTCGGATTACCGGTTCGACATGGACGACTCCTTCAGCCTCTGCAGTCAGCCCATGTCCTGCCCTTCCACCACCACAAGCTTCTCCTCCGCCTCATCAGCCTACGACCCATTCACTCCTACATCTCGACGATCAACACCTCATGAATTCGGCAACATGGACTTTGATGGCCCTTACAACTCTGTCTCCCACCGGGCAGAGCTGACCCCTCCCTCATCAGCAATGGGCAAGTTCATGTTTGGCCCTGTCAAGCCTGAGCCTGAGCACATCTCATTCTCTGACTCTCTCCCCAACACTCCCATGAAGAGAGAACAACTCGGCTTCGAGTACGAGCACATGATGGACATGAACATGGCACACCACGGATCAATGGGCTCATTGACACCATCAAACTCCTTCGGCATGTATTCGTACTCTCCTGATGCTTCAATGGGCCCCGCCTCTTTCATGATGACACCAACCCAGAGCATCTCTGGCTCTGAGGCTGCCGAGACCGGCTCATCATGGTCTTGTGCCAACGATAGTCCCATCTCATTCTTCCCTAACAGACAACTCTCAAGTGACTTTGACACTTTCGATATGGACCGCCACTCTCAGTCACCTCTTGGCTACCATCTTCATGACCCCAACTCTCCCAACCGCATGCGTGCTCAAAGGAAGTTGATGGTGCATGAGATCCAGCAGAAGAGTGCTGAACTTCAGCGAGCTCAGATTCGATCATCGAGGAAGCGATCGATCAAGCCCGATTCTGCTCAAGTTGATGTTGTCCGAAGAGCCATGTGCAAGTGTGACTACCCTGGTTGCCACAAGGCCTTCCGACGAAACGAGCATCTCAAGCGTCACAAGCAAACGTGAGTATTTACTAAGATTCATAAAAAATGAACATTTTCACTGACAAAATGCAGTTTCCACGGTGAAGGACCTAACCGTTTCTCATGCGAGTTCTGCGGAAAGGACCAATTCAACCGCCAAGATAACCTCAACAACCACCGCAAGCTACACGCACGACCCAACAGCCGCAACCGCGGAGTTGAATTTATCCCTGCTGCAGTCCCTGTTATTGAGCAAGAGGAGCGAAGCAGGAAGCGAAGAGCGCCCTCAAAGTCCAAGATTGCTGAGAAGCGGGGCTCAGAATACTAAGCCTGTCATTGACTGCTTGGCATTACCTACTTTTACTTTTACTGATGGACATATCTTGGCCGGGTACCTTACTTGAGAACTCCGTCAGTCGCCACTGGCGGAATAACGAGAACAGGGAAGAGTCGAGTCCCAAGGGCGCCACTTATATGAGACACGCAGAACAAGACCAAGACCCGCGCACTCGCTCAACTTGATTGGGGAGATACACACACACATTCAGACACACATACCCAACAAACACATACATATTTTGTCTGTCTCGTCTACACACTATCATATACGGAAAAGCGGAGCTGGAAAAAGAAAGGAATTGCAGCATTTCTGCAGCCAGACCGTCATATGGTCGACGCCGCTGCATTAGAGACTCAGGCAAGAGAGCTCTTTTGGAAAGCAAACGAAATTACAGGAGACACGAGGGTGTAATGGTCTGTATGATTACTATGTCTGAAGAGAAGACGCGGAAAAGGATTACCTGACTTGACATTACTTTCACTGTTACTTTACTTGGGTGGCATTTGCATGATGGAGTTGTTATCACACAACTAGGTCCACTTCAAAGGTGCAAGGGCGTTTCTACCTTGGGGGGAGGCTTTCTACTTTACTTTGTTCTTTACTCGGTGTTGAGGAATTTTGTTGAATTCGTTCTTACTTTACTTTTTTTGGTTAGCTATTCTTTTCTCTTCTATTACCCTCCACATTCTGGACAAAGAATGGCTGGGACAATATGGTGGCGGACATAGGATTGAAGCAGCAGATAATGAAACAAGAAATTCTGTCAAATGAACACCTTCGTCATGACTTTCCCCATATGATCTCCTTGAAAGTGACATATCGATTAGCAATTCCTTTTTTTTTTTTTGAGCTGGCGCAGGGAACATGGCTGAGCTGGACATAGTGATGCCTGTTCGTGGAGAGACAAAACAGACAAAGCTGGAGATTGCATTGCATAGTGCAGGGCAAGGGTGAAAGGCATTCACGTGTTGATTGATTGGCTTGAGGATATGTAGTTTGTGTTTAGAAGCAGATCTTCAGGTGGTCTATACCCAGAAAAGTAGGAAACCAAAAGATATCAGATATGACAAAGACAGCATCCGACAGAGAAGACTTCAGCTTCGGCAGGCTTTAGAGTTTCTGGGACTTCTTGGCCCGAGCGTAGAGCGGAATTGGAGCATTTCACGGACAGGCAGAGCGAGCAGTACAGCGGAAGAGACAGTGGATGGGATGGGATGGATGCTTTGGCTTCCGATAGACAGCTCCATAATGTCTCAGATCTCGGGGTAGGACCGCCTGCCGATCCGCGAGTCACCCTGGCACCCTAGTCCCAGCACAGACAAGGGACATGCACAGGCTCATTGCTTCTGCTAGATTAGGATGAGATGAGTGATATGAGATGGCAAGATACGGCGTAGCAGCACCCGCTGCTCTGGGTCTGGCAGATTTGATGTGCTGTACATACATGAAAGAGACAGAAAGACGGGTCGACAAGGCATTGGTGTGGTGTGTTCTTCTAGGGCCTCGGTGGACACTCCGATGGACGTCGGATGTGATATATGATATTTCTGGGCTAATAAGAGGCTCAAACGATAGTGGCTGAGACAGGGGAGCGGAGATGTGATTGGAGCTTTTAGATCCGGCCAGAGATTTTTGAGGGTCTGGATCTAATAATATTAAGATTCGGATTGCGGGAGGTACAGAGACACATGTCAAACGGTTTCTGATTTGCAATATTAGCAGAGGGAATGTCAACCGTCTTTGCCTCCCGACTCGAGGAATGCTAAGATCAACGACATGTAAGCGGCAAAGGCCATTGGACACGATCCGCAGCGGAGCAGATTACTATCTAACGTTAGTTCATTCATTGAGAAAAACTGTGGATACACGTATTCCAAATTGGGAAAAGAGGTCTCTTGGACTGGACCGGGGGCTATTGTAGACTGCGCGGGCCGTGGTGGAGAGAAAGACTCTACTAGAGTAGATAATGCCAGCACGTCCAGGCAGACCATCGGAAGAGAACAACACCCTCAAGGAGAAATTATTAGAGTTTCCGAGTGTCAAAAGGGTTGTTTAGAGTCAGGAGGGTTGCATAAATAGTTCCAATACATAAAATGAATTAGGGAGGAAAAGTCTTCCTACAGGGAGGTATGCAGCCAGTTTCATCCACAGTGGCCTGGGTCAGGCAGTTTACGGCCATGTCTTTAGTAAGAGTTGCCTTATGAGTGCAACTAGATCGTGACGAGTTGTGTAGGGAGGGGAAAGAATTGGGGAATTATGATGACATACACACTTTCACATTTCGCACAGAGACAGGGGACCATGATATGATCTGATATGACAATGTCGATTATTGTATGAGGCTGAACATGATCGAGTCCGTGCCGACAAGGGGAAGGGGATCTCCAATGCTGAGGCGCTTAGGGGTCACTTGCATGGGGTATCAGGGTGTCTACATTATCTCGAGAGTCTAGTAGTGTCTCTTGGGCCGTGGTCCATAGGATGATTCAGTGTATGCGATGTCAGTGGATAACAGTCCGTGGCTGAGATGAAGGCTGACACAAAACCCTTGGACCCTTTTTCTCTCGCCGTGTGTGTTTTGCAGCTCGGATAAGGGTTCCCACGGGTTCTGTACTGTTGCACAGACCCTATCCCGTGGGATTGAGGCGTTGAGGAGACGTTTGTGCCTGGAATGAGCTGAGATGAGGCGCCGATGTGCAACGCGAGATGGGAGGGGACGAGGAAGTACTGGAACATGACACGATATATTCGATTCAGGGAGGCTTAGGAACAGGAGGCAGGAACAAAACTTCCGTGATCTCCGTAGACTCTAAAGATATGGACCTTTTTTGTTATCCAATAAGTATGGACAGTACTCACTCCCATCTCAACGCCATTGTTAGCCCAATGCAAAAACGACAAGTTACATGAGCTAATGTCACTATTCATCTCGTAGACCACATGATGCCCTTAAACAAAGAGGCCGAGTTACGTCTATCATAGAGCACATGAACGGGAATAGGGGAAACACAACAAATACCGGTTAAGCGACGACGCCGGCGCGGAGACTAGGGTCAGGGCTATTGAGTTACGGGAATGGCTTCGTTGATGACATTGGTGGGGCTCCACAGAGGTCCCCCAACACAGTAATTCATCTACAGTGCAGTTCTCAGTCGCAGTAGAGAACGAGAACCCCTGAAAGTCTGTTTTTCCTTCTTTGGTGCTCGGCCGGCACTTGTCAAAAAAACAGAGTTTGAATGGACTGGTGGAGGCTACTTGGTGTTTGGGGGTTAACTTGCTACTATTGGGTGTGAGGGAATATTCTCTGGAAGCCTATGATCTCGGCATGGTTCGTTCCCGGCAACCGGTTTACTTATCTAAACGAGGTTGCAGTCAAAATGGAGAATGCAATGTAGATCAGATAATCAAACATAGGCCATGTCAAGCTGAATTGCGATTTCGGGTGCAAGTGAAGCCCGTGATCGACGCCGGGTTCTGTACCCAAGAATCAGTAATAGTTGGACATGGGTTGCATGAACCAGGTAATGAATGAGTAAATGGTTGAGTTGATAGTCCTCTTTGCTTCTTGATACTGTGGTCATAGGAATGAAAAAAGAGGTGGCTATACAGCATAAAATGATGAACTGCAGTGGCGGCAATGACGCAAGAGATTAGAAGGCTACTGTACGTAAATACAAAAAGAGAAGCGAAAAAAGAAAGAAACGAACATGATCTTGGTATGGGGGACAAGCTATTCCATGCATGAGATTGCATATGTCGATTACCTTGGCCTACAATACAGTAAGTAATACGACACCTACATACAACAGCAGGCGGAGTCTCCCCCCGTCGGGTGAACGTATCACATGTATCTGTGCATGTATTTGCGAGATGTGATAGATCGCGGGGAAAGAATGCGTCGAATTGGTTGGTAAGTCTGCTCGGCAAGACAGGGACAGGGACAGGGACATGACCTGCATGGTATTTTGTGGAGATATCATCAAGTACAATGCCTGCCGCCGGATACTGTAAGGTAAATGCACTGCAATGCAATGGATACGAGAGGTGATAATCTGTTGAATTGTGAGAAGTGATAGTGACAGCTCTGTTTCCGAGAAATTGCCTGTTAATCAATCTCGCAGGGTTACATCAACTGCAGTTTTGACAGCTGTTCAAGGATACAGACCCTCTGTAACTCAAAATTAATCGTCATGGCGGCTCGTCAATTCAGCTCTCATGGTCACTGATGACGACCCTACAGTATTAGCGATGCAGTTGATACAGTGCACACGTACCTGATCGATCCCCCTGTAACTTAGCTCCGATCTTGGCATCAGCCGTTAAAACAGGCTGCAGAGGCTCACAAAGAGGCCTGTGCGCTTGCCACTTGCTGCTGTGCCACAGCCAATAACATATTCGCGGAGTATTGCCGTCTGAGTAATGTCATCATCAATCTCCACTGCCTGCCCTGCCAGCCAGCAACATGCACATGCACTGCTAGTAACCAGCTGAGGAACGGAGCGTCACCACTTTTTTTTCTCTCTCTCTTTTACTGTATGCCCATGATTATCAAAGTTAAGACTCGGATTATCTCGACCGACGCAAACCCCGGGGATCCCGGAGCCTGGTTGTTTCGATGCTGGGCCGGGCTGACTTAGCAATCTCGCGATGGCTTCGCTTCCATCTTACCAAGATGCCGTCTCCCCCGACTGGCTGCCCCTAGTGGCTCCCTACGTCTCTCCCAAGGACTACCCGGCATTGTGCGGTGTAAATCGCCGGTACTGGGACGTTTTTGCCCCACGCATATGGGGTCGTATCCCACGCTCAGACACAGTGACCGGTCTTGATGATGCAGAATATGGTGAGCTATGGACTGAACAATGCCCTAGTCTCTTGTCCTCAGAGCAGGAACTGATTAGTTTCATCAGATTTGGATTGGTTGTTGAACTCTGTTTTCAACGGCGTCAGTCGGATGAGATCCGAGACGTTGAGCCTTGTTCGAGTCTTTGATGCTCGCTCCATCAGGGGTACATATTCTCTCAGCATGGGTGTCAACCTCAACACGAAGTTGAAGAATGCAGTCAAGTTCTTACCAAACCTAAACTGTATTCTTATCGATGGCCATGAAGATCTTGACCCTTCTGAATCTTTCGCAGAGGTCGGACATCAGATTCAACTCCTCAGCATGGCGGGTTGCCACGTGTCACTATCAATCAAGTTCATCAACACACTTCGCGGAATCGTCTATCTAGATCTCTCGTATGTTTCGGGATCACTCCGTCCCTTATTCCAAGACGATGTGCTCCCTGAATTACGTGTCCTGAAAATCCAAGGCAAGGAGGTTGACGACACCACCGTTGAGAATCTAACCGCTCGATTCGGAACTCGTCTATGGAGCTTGGACTTGATTAACAATAAGCTAACAGACCAGGCGCTTGATAGTATTGGGGCTCATTGTTTGTGGCCAGCCGATCTTCGCTCGGATACCAACTTTGATGTCGAGGGTAAGCTGGAATTCGGATGCACAACCCCTGACTTTGGGACCTGGACTCGCATTGTTGAGTCTGAATGGAGTGTCTCTTTCAGTCATCCAAACAGACATTTTGTCGACGCACCGTTGTATGATCTTCACGATACACTGCCCCAAGAATGTGTGTCTAAACGACTAGACGGGAAGTTCCCCGTCAAATCAGATGCGGCGGACGCCGTTTGCCGGGGCCTCCAAGGCGAGGACCCCTATTTCCCACCAGCGAGTTTTCAAACTTCACAAGGGCTTACGCATCTCAACGTCTCTGGCAATCGGGTCTCATCCCTCGGCATCATGAAGCTACTTACGCTGTGCCGTGGACGCCTCGAACAGTTTAGCTGCGACTCTATGATGTTCGTTCCGCCTCTGAAAGGGACTATGGCCGCAGTGTGGTGGCCTAAGGCGGCTAAACTCTATGGCTTTTATGCTACACATACACTACGGCCGGTGCTGTCGTCGAACTTGCGGGTAGTCAAGCTACACCATTCAGTAGTGACTCAAATTCCCACGTTGGAACTTGAGGGATTCTCCAGCATGGCTTGTCTGCACATCGCTGAGAAAATACTACTGCCGCGGGCTGAGATGGCCTTCCCCGAGCCTTTTGTCCCTGACATGAATCCACGCATCACCTCACTAACCCTTACACATATTCCGCGGCGTTCGAGTGGCCCGCTGATCAATAGACTGGTTTCCTTCCTAAAACTTCTCTCTGCGCAGGAGCGTGCGCTTTTTGACCTGTCATCTCGGCGGGGTCCCAGCGTCTTGGCCGGCCTCCGTCACTTCCGGCTCGAATTCGAGCAGGATGCTTACGAGGGCGATGCCTATATTGCCGGAGAAATAGATGCTGAGGAACTGCTAAACTCGGGCGATAAGGGGTTCAGTTTCTTCGGTGACGAGGCCGGCGGGCGCCCACGGCCCATTCGAGAGCTAGCTACCCCTCCCCCTCAGAAACGGGATCTGACTGAATTTTCCGTTTCTCAAGGGGAGCAGGACCTGGAGACTGAACACCTGGACATAGACGTCTGGGTGGACGGAAAATCCACTACGGTCAAGGTATGGGTCGGCTCAGCCTCTAACGAAAGTAGCAACCCCATGCTACGAGACTATCGAGAACTGGCGTTGCATTGCAAAGTGCATGATCGTATCGGACCGGCCTCCCCTGCACAAATACGTGCGGGCGTCCCCTCTTCGGCACTCGTCTTTCACACAGCATGGTGTATGGCGATCATGCCCTGTCGGCATAGGTCTGCCACCTTCAAAGAGCCCACAAGGGTTGAGCTTGACGCGATGAAAGACGTGCTGTCTGAGCTAAAACAGTTTCGCCTCGAAGGCAGGGCAAAATACCTCAAGCTGCAAGGCCAGTCTGCCAGCGGAACCTGTCCGCCTGGTCCACCGCATGGATTCTGGCTTGGGAAGCTTGAGGTTTCGACTCACCAGGGGACGCTACGGAGCAAAACCGCAGACTATTGGAGATGAGCCGGGCGTCTAAACTACTGCCCGAAGAAATTGTGCGAGGAATACTCCGGACACTTCAAACTTTGTTTTATCAAATAGTCTGTCAAAGGGTAGGTTTGTGTGTCTGGAACTGGTTTTGAAACTTTTGATACCCTCGTTTTGACGTCGGGCTGGAGGGGACCGAACATCGTCAACGGCGTGCTTGGCATTGAGTTTCATAATTATCTGATGAGGAAATACGTGGCTAGCATAGGCCGATATACACAGAATGAGGAGACTCCTGACATCGACATTGGTTCAAGGATCGCCAGCTCAGGTGGCAAATGTCATGACTCTCGTTCTCCGCCGAAACTGTCGGTTCTTCAGGATGCATAATTCGTCTTTCGGATTGATTTCATTACGACGAATTCCTCTGATGCTGCGCTTTGATGCGATATGGATTTATTCCCTCATATTCTGGACATTGACAGTAAGCTCAAACTTGACCATCCTCTGACCACATTCCTAACTAAGGAGATGATAGACATTCGCTTGCTAGCCGAGGTATGGGTCCCAAGACACTGACTGGCAGGCTGACAGCTATGGCGAGTAACATCGCGTCAACGCGTCGTCCAGGATAGGCAGTCACTTCATAGAAAATGATGCCAAAGAGGGGGTTCCTGACAACGTGCCCTGCATTGCGTCAATGCATACTAGAGTCTAGACCCTCAGCTGACAACAAAATGTTCGCCTACCCATGGACCCTCTTCCCTACCTTACAGAGAAGACCCCTTTTGCATGTGCATCATGGACGAGAGGGGGGAGGGGGGAAGGAGATGTTCTGCGTTGTGGGTAAAAATGTCTTTGACGGGTTGATTATAGAGTTTTGTGGCACACGGCACAGAGAGCTGATCTTAACCAGTCCTTGGAGGGCGTTGCAAAGAAAGAGGGTCCGAGCTTAGCAAGAAAGGAATCCGAACGTTGGGTTAGAACCAAACGACCCCCTTTAGGCTAAAGCCGCAGGCTATGTACAGGCCCGAGGCACGGTATTTGTTAGAGTTTGGAGGCTTTGAAGCTATTCACAACAGCGCCCCAAGCAGGAGAAGGGGGCCCAATACGAGCTGTGCATTCTTGGCGCTAGCGCAGCGACCCGAGCCGTAAACGTTAGCTTAAGAACGGTTTCCCGAATGGCTGGATGAACTTCTCAATGAGGAATGAAGCCGACACTTGGTTTAATTATCTTTCAGTTCAGTGTCTGTCTTGTCTTCATTTCTCTCAAGACCAAAACAAAAGTGTTCCCATTCGTGCATACTACTGGCTCGTGCTGCGGTGGTCTAGAACGCCCTGAACCTGGAAGCAGGCCCAGCTAATGTACATTACAGAACAGCCTAGCCTCCAATGGGGCATAATTGTAATCTATTAGATAATATTTCTGCAGCATGAAGAATAAGGGGAATTTTGGAGCGTAACATCGTCTTGTTTCCTACCAGGACCGTTCCACGCAGCCGGAACGCAGTGCGACGGGCGTGGCGCGTCGGCATCGCCGCGGCATCTGCACTTCTATACTGGTGTCGACGGAGGTGGCTGCCTGACTGCCAGGGATCACACGTATCGGGGACCTATGGCGAAGCTCGGTTGCTCCCGAGGGGTTGGAAACGGACACTCCCGTTCCTTGCATGGCATGGCATGGCTGTCTAGTGAGCCGGACTCTCGGGTCTCTTGGTGCTTCCCTGTCCTTCTTCTGGGCAGAGTATGCGGCTTTCATCGAGATCTCCAGCAGCTCTTTGAGGCTATTGATCCCTGACGGAGCATGGCATGGCAAGGGGAGTTGTCAAGCTATTGATCTCTTGCATACTGCAGCTTCGGCGAACGTGGGAGGAATGGACCATTGGGACGCAAAGAGGAACAATATCGCGTGAGATGAAATATCTTGGAAAGTAGGCCGATATTTCCTCTTTGGCAGATCGGTAAACCTTTGCTGATACTTGGGAGAGGTGGCAAAACACTCTTCACCGGCTTACACAACGGCTTGCAGAGCTGTCAATGACCTGTCATTCATTAAGACCTGAACTAGAAAAACACACGGACTGCTAAGGCGCCACCTCAGCTTTTTTATCACGCCACAAAGCATCTTATTAATTCGTCATAATGGTCAGTGCCGTTCTAGCAAAAAAAAAAGGTCAAAGAGTCAGGTCCAATATCCTGCCTTAGTCCCGTCCGTGTGGGGCCGAGCTGAGGTCCGCCCGGGCCGCGGCTTTTACCGTACAGGAAACTCGGGAGGCGCTCCGGAAACGGGACAAGGCTGAGAGATTCAACGACGATTGTATAGAACAAATGAACCACAGTTATTGGTAGTGGAACTGTATAGGGTAACACCAAGACATAGATTGGCGTTGTGGTGAGGAAGTGGGAGCATTTGTGATATATTCATGATAAACAGAACTCTGTATCAGTGGTTGCGACGGAATATCAACATGGACTTGGCCAGTTGCAACCCCGGTGTTATATTTATTGTGTTGTCTATAGCCGGTGGTGGTTGGAGACGTATCATTCATTGTACATAGATTCCTCCATGCCAAAACGTCTGATCAGTGGCATTCATAGCTAAGTAGCAAACAATACATTAATAAGGGATGCCGATCTCAAGGCCCCTTGCAATAAACTGGGATATATAAAACCATAGTTACAATCTTGTTATCTTAGAGAATTGGTTGCAGCCTCTGCGTAGTACCGTACTATAATAGCCCATTACCAACCTGTCGATCTATCCATACGACCGAGGTCTCAGCATATTCAACTGAACCTGCTGGCCAGATAAATACACGCGCGATGCAAGGGTCACCGCGTGAGTCATCCTGTCAATTCGTCATGGTGTTCAGCACCGCGTTTACGGCGCAAGAGATTAGGGAACACCGACGAACATGGTGCAACGATCTTTTCCGGTTTTTGCGGGGCCGAGCTGCGGTCCACCAGGCTCTTACAGCTTCCGTGAGATCCCCTAGGATCCGAGATAGCACCTTCGATGTTTCCCATAGAAATAGACTTGGTATTCATTAGCTGCAAGCCAGTCAGACTCAATAAAGTATAGCAGTAAGGTTAAAAATAAAATAAATAAATAAAAAACGGCGATAATCTAAAGGCTACATTATTAGAGATACTTGCATGCTAGACTGGTCTCTTATCTAGAAGGAAATACTCTTGATACTAATGATCTAATTAGATCAATCCTCTGAAGTACGAATAGGGTGCACTCTCGGATTCTAAGGGATAGGCAACGCGGATAGCTGTCAAGCAAACGGGACATGGCTAAGAGACTCGACGATGATTGTGTGGAATAACTCAGCTATAGTATGAATTATATCGGCCTTTGAGGTAATGACATCAAGTGATAGAATAGCTATATAGCCAAGGTATAATGACATAAAGAACTCACTCGCAGGAAAGAAACTATCTAATTATTATAAGCTCAATATCAACACCAAATAGGTGCAAATTAGATATACATATAATTGACCAGCAGTTTAACTGCCGTCGATCGCCTAAACATAATTAATAACTGTAGCCATCTAAAATCACCACAAAGTCTTTCATGTGTGAATTAGGAGTGTCAAGGAGCGGTGGTTTTTTGCAACGAGTTTGAAGTCATAGTTGTCGGCAAGCTCATGACTTGTCCGTACCATCTAATCTCATCTACTCTCTAATTGAATGCCCATAGGGAGATCTTCGAATCGTTAAGTATGGAATGTTATAATAGCATCCCCTGGCTAACTTCTCAGATATGAATGTTGACCAAAGCAAAGTCAGTCCGAATTCAACTCTATTATCATTGTTCTAACATCAAGATCTCTTGGGTCCTGTCACTATAGCAGAAAAGAATATTATGTCTATCAATGAAGGGCATGTATTGGGTTCTAGTAGTAGCTATTTGAGAAATAGGCTTTTAGCAAGTTCTCATGTTTCGAGGGTGCATGGGCTTGAGTATGTGATATATACTACTTGCACCATTTTGACAACACAGCTCCCTCACATGTCATGAAATATCTAATACTACAGAAGGTTTCTTGCATCTTGATGAGGCCGTGCAGCGGCACCCATAGCTGAAGGATGGAATATAACTCGTTGCTAAGGATGGTATCAATACCTCCTCGGGGGAGGGGCTTGCTGACTCGAAGGAAGATCTCTTCGCAGAACGGATTGCTGAAGGTGGAATTATAGAAAGTTGCCAGCTGAATGAGAGTCTCTGGCAGGATGATATCTCGTAGGTGTCTCAAATACCCATGCACGTCTTTCTCGTGTGCTCAATTCTAGGTCGCGCGAGTCCATCAATGACTGGAAGACGTGGCTCTGGGAATCAAGACTAATATCCTTATTCTTCGTAAACTATGATTCTAATAGTGGACTAGAACTACACGGCCTATAACCTGCTGAGGTCAGAATTGTGGTGTTTGGTACTGGAGGGTATGTTCTATTATCCCTGTTGGTTGTGTTGGTCGGAGCTGGTGTAAGTAAGAAGGCAAATACACCACGGCAAAGATGTCACTCATACAGGGTCACACAGAATGAAATATTCGATTCAAGTTCAAATAAAATCTGTGTTCATCTGGTCCAACACTTTCCAATGCTGGCGGTCTTGTAACACGATGTTCGTCTGGCTGTGGACGCCAGCGACCTCCAACACTCGAGGCTACTTGAGGCTTTGTGACGTGTCTTCTACCAAACTTGTTTCTAGACAAAGTTGCAATTAATCAAACAATCATATAGATGCCGCATTATCAGACGCGCCACGGAAATGTGCAGGGGACAGTTGTTGCTGCCAACTTTCCTTGATAAATACCCTAGACTGACACATCTTCGCCTGTCGACCTCCGCCCCATGCTTTATATATGCTGCTCGAAATCAATCCATTGACTTACTTCAATTATATCACTGTGAACTTGGGCATTGCATTTCCATGTTGCTGATCGCGAAGTTCTGGTCGTTGATCATTCACAACTGAAGACGAAATACAATACGGAAGCCATGTTCATCAGACTCAAGACACACGCAAACTTACTGAGTGACACATAGCATGTTGGCTATTGAGATTTATAAGAACATCTTTTAGGGAGAAGTATTTGTATTGAAGCGAAGGATGCGGAATAAGAATGTTGTCGCGTCTCAACACCTCACGTTGGTGGATTTAGGATATTGTCCAGCGCCTGGGCTCAGGCGCGCACTGCACTGCTCCTCATGATTTTCAACGTGAATATTCATCCATGGTTAACAGAATAATGTATTGAAATCGAGTGGACAATGCTAGGATGACAATGACCATGCTGTGCCTCTCTTTGAAGCAGACCAAACCTCTTATAAGCCAACCAACATCTACCAACTAATCTGGACCAACACCATGAGGAAGAGGGTTACTCAGCACTAAAACAAGTGTCTCTCGGCAAAATCTCAAGTATACTGGATAAAATAAAGTGTTAAGCTCTTTAAACAGTAGAAATGGTGGTGTTTACGACAGTAAGCACGTCTGCTGACTGTGTTGGAGACTCCAAGCTCTGCTTATCCGACACTCCTTCACGAGTAATATTTGACCTCAGTGTCAGGATCAACCATCATAGTCAGCGGAAGCCCGAAAGATGGGTCGGAGCTGACGAGAGTTGATAAAGGTCGAGGCTCATGCGTGTGTATGTAGATATTGTGAGGTTTTTCGCAGGAAAGTAATTCTTGGAACATTCATCATGGGAACTGGCGATGGGGAAATTTGAGTTGAAATGATTTCTGCTAGAGCTCTCGATCACCTGCGACAGCAGTTTTGTGGTGAGGCTGTGCGCATTAGTGATGATAACAACACGAAAGCACCTCTGACAAGCGACGGCAAGGAGGATAATCAGAAGGAGACAGTATCGCGACTCATTCACAAACCTGTGAAGGATGATAACAGCTCGATCGCTGTCAATGTCGAAAATGAACTTCTTCGACTCCCAGCAGAACTCCAACTTATGATCCTACAGCATCTCACATTCGGCGAGGTCGAGTCTCTGCGACGAACATGTCGTCTCCTCCGCCATACAATCAACAAGCCTTTCATACGCGAAGTCTTCCCCAGCATAAAATTCGAACTCCTCTCAACATGCTATCGCTGTCTTGGCTACGACGCGCTGAGAGATCATCTCATCCACGCTGATGAGTCTGACGCGAGATACCCTCTGGCCAACGAGTGTCTCGACTGTGTTTCTTCACGAGGAGGTTTCGTCGTGGGCCGTATGTATACCCTCGGAACGTTTGCGACGGTTTGTGTATGTCGATACTGTGGGTTTCCTGTTACGTCGGATGCGGCGTGGAAAGAGTATGAGTTCCATCGGGTGTGTTATAGGCGATATCGGATGATACTGCTGTACTATTTTTTGGTCGGTTGTGCGCAGAGTACGATAACCATTGTAGCAGCGTCGTTGTGTTGGAAGTATTACAAAAAGGAGAAGCTGGTTCTTGGACCTACAGTGGTAAGTGAGTGAATATGAGGTAAGAGTGCTGTGCTGACGAGTGTAGGTTAACTTTCTCATGGCGTGTTGGGTGTTTTGCTTGAGTATGGTAAGAGGCACAGAGTTGAGGACTTATCACTGGTCTTTACTTCTAGAAATGGGTATTTTGGGACTTTGGATTCCGCCCCTTACAGGTGTTGTTAGGACCATGGAAAAAGGATCCGAGGGGGTTCGAGCAGCAGACATTGCAACAATCTTTTTCATTGCTTGCAACATGTAAGTCTATGAGCCTACAACATCAAGAGCATTCTGACAAATCAGACTATTTCGTTTCATCAATGTCCTTGGCAACACACTCCTTGTCTCCGAATACAAGCTCTGGCGCCGCTACATGCCGAATCAATCAAGGCCCAGTCGAATCCTTAACAAAGTCATTGCGTTTCTCATCTTCTGGACATACCCACCAAGCATTGAGCAAAAGTTCCCGGGGAAATGGTGGTTTTCCAGACAGAACTCTCAGGCTGGAGGTGTTTGACGCGGCAGATGGTGGATGGCCTGGGGAAACGGGACTTGCAATCTGGGGTAGATCCGGAGACACGGAGGGCGTGGCGGTGACACGGTTCGATTGGTTCGCTCAAGTTGCAGTTACTCCTTTTTCTTCTTCTTCATTTTCACATGAGATCAGATCAGATCTAGTTACGTCTTGTTCATCTTCTCAGGACATGGTTCTTGGAAGATTATGAGGAAAGGCTTTGCTATGCAATGCAGGTGACTTCAGCTCAACAACTCAATCATGCGCTCGTGGGAGATTGGATTATGTTACTAGGCACGATATCATGGCGTTGCTAGGTCTCACTAAATGTGCTTGTTTCACGAACGGATTCTAGATTTGACATCCTTGACTTTCAGGAGATTATGTCGACGAGGCAACTCGGTAAAACTTGCTCATTTTTAAGAAACTCCTGCTATGATTACTTGAGAATCTCTTCCTAGTTGGCATGCTTCTTGGTCGTCGTCTCGGCGTGATTGCTAGCAACTCGGGGATCACGGAACCCTTGGCTCTGATCACCGCGCTCAGCGACATCACCTCCTCCCTGCCCAAAAGCGCCCTGGAATGACTGCCGAGCTGACTGGTCATTGCTATTCTTGCTGCTACTGCTGCTGCCACCCTTGTTATTGCTGTCGTCGCCACCACCTGATTTGTCCACTCTTGGCTGGTGTTGGTCGTGCTTCGTCGCGTCTCTCTTGGTTGGCGTGCCATCGTAGTTGCTAGCCACTCTCGTATCCTTGGCCTCCTTTCCAGACCCATCACCAGCTTTAGATCCTCCAGTGCCAAACAAACCACCTAGCATTCCACTGCCATGAGAAGTGCTCGATGTACCGGGCTGGTCCTTGGCAGACATCTCAACTGAAGTTCGAACGTTGGAACCGCCACCGCCAACTCCGCCGCCTACTCCACCGCTGGGAAGCTTCTCGGGAGGTGCTGTCGTGCCCTCTTTGCGGTTCGAGTTGGCGTGGCTAAGCTCGTGGCCGCCTGTGACGGCATTTCCTCCAATGCCGGCGCCGCTGAGTCCTTCGGCCTTTTTGGCCTCCGCGCGACCCCTGCGATCTTGCTCAGGTGTGGTTTCGGGCTTGGATCTGCCTAGATAGTAGACACCTGCACCGAGAGCTGCTACGCCTGAAATGATAGGAACTGCAGCGGAACCTTGTTGGCCAGCACCGAAAACTGCCTTCATTTTGATGGTGCTTTTAAGATGTGATATTAGGGTGTTTAGAATTGATGTGTTGTAGAGCAACAGAATGAGATCAATTGGACAATGTTTGGTGAAGAGAATGGATTTCTCTCTTCTGTTTGTTTTCTACTGTCTCTGTCTGTGACGTCGTTGATACAGTCATGACGGATGGGCTACTCATGATGACAACATAGACGTGTAAGTCAATACCATAAACAGCAAGACGTCAGGGACCAGAGCAAGCCATGATGGGTCATTCATGGATAATGATGAGCGTTTCATTAGGGGAGAAAACCATTGAGTCTTATAATCACGATGAGGTTATAAAACGGCGATTGAATGTGCAAATCATCATGATCGAGTCGAGTTGATAACATGCAACTTGTGGGCCAGATATCATCAATGACGGCGTGAGTTGGTTGTCATTCACTGCCCAATAGATTGTGAGGGTCGGTCTTTTGTTCTTCCGATGACACCGGAAATACAGGACTGCAAGTACCGTATTTTTAGCGAGCTCACTAAAAGGCGGAACCGCGATTTAGCGTACAACTAAATCACGGAGCCGCAGTCAACCATTGTTTCCCCTCATCTCAGGGCGTTGCAGGGGTTGAAGGGATCAGAATCTGGGGCAATGGGGAAAGGGACTTCTTCAGAGTCTGAACGTTCTTGGCCTTGGACGTGACGATCGATGGACTTTTGTATTGATGGTGGAATCAGGTGACAGTCAAAGCTGAATTGTGCTTTGACTGTTGAGATGCTCCTCTATTCATTGTTGGCAGAGATACAGCATATCAGATACTGAATTGGAGAAGAGGGTTACATTTCTCGAGTCAGTCAACAACCGTTACAACGTGTAACTGTCTATGCAGCCATACAGAGATTAAACGCTTTCAACAGCCGGTCCCCTCTACCAGCCCAACTAAACTGGAACGCATCATAATCGACCCATCAACAAAAGCTTCTTGTCCCAGACACTGACTTATACGTACCCTGCCACGTTGCCCCTACACCTCCACAGTAACCTTATAGGCCTTCTCCGTAAATCTCATGTACATACATTCTATAGTGATATCCACTCACCTGGCAGCGGATCCGAAGTTCTGCTTCTTAGACCACCAACACGAACCCTACTCTAAGATGCACGGAGGTAGTACCAGTCCGGGGCCCCGGTGATCTCTGATACGTATCCATAATATACACATTTGTTGGTAATTTCGATCCTTTCCCCAGAATGCCCGTTTTGAAAGCCATCTGTTCTTCTCTGTTGTGTTGTTCTCTTATGTCTTGTATAAGCCACTATGTCTTCCCCTCACAGCAACTCGGCTGGCCGGAGAATAACCTAAAGTCAATCTTGCCTCTCGATATAGACTATCCTCAACTAGCAATTGATACGCGTAGAACATTCACTCTCCCCCAAAAAGAATCCCCCCGCACAAAGGCATCAACGGTGAGGCTGCTCCCTCCCTAGTCCCTGTCTCCCTCAGCCGGGCGAAGGGATCGTGTGGAGATGGTGGCATCTGGGGTTAGAGAACTGAACTCCAACTCAAGGTCTTAGCGCTGCCAATCTAATTCCTCCCCCGCAACGCAAACGCGCACGCCAAGCTGGGGTAGGATGTTACACTCTTCAGGCTTCGAGAGGTTAGACTGTGACAGACTCATCGAATCGGAGAGTTAGTCCTCTTCTCCAATCCTGCTGTGGCTTTGATGAATCGAAGACATGCTTGACTCGGATGACACGGCGCCAATGCAACCAAAACCAAACCAAACCTTGTGCTTTTAGACGGACAGGCGGACTGATCTTCTTGACGCTCAGATGCCGTTGTTGTTCCTCTTCTCCTAGTGGTGGAGATCTGCGACTGAATAGACAGTCCACACAGGACCTGGGGAAGCAAAAAAGCAAAGCAACATGAACCAAAGATGCAACATGGGGCCGGATCAAAGGGTGGCGCCCCTGTTCCGTGCCAATCTGGGGGACCAGGCTTGGCTTTTGAGCTTATGTCTCCGTATTGGCTTGCAATTCATATATATTAGGGGAGCTATGGCCTGATATAAGTCCCTTCCCTGTCCCTGCGTCCGCATTGACTTGTTGTCTCTCCTCTTCATTATCCCATAATCTGATTTCGATTCTATATACCATTGCGACTCTTCTCCTTTTCCACTAAGAAAGAAAAGTCTCTTCCCAACAAACTTCCATCCTGGACGAAATCACCATCATGGCCGCTACCACCGAGCACAGCGAGCAATTCAACGAGAAGCATGATGGCCTCAATGGCTTTGATCCTGAGGCTCAGCGCCTGGAGAGCTTGAACAGGTTGAGAACTGCTCAGAGTGTTCAGATGAGCCCTGAGTTGTTTGAGAAGCTTTACCTTTCGCCTATGAACCAGGTCAAGGGAGAGCTTCGACAGACATTTGGAAACCCTACACCTATGTATGGGGATTTCATCTCTATTTACAGTGATATAGATTACTGACAACTATTGTAGTGCTCTGGTTGGTTTCCTCCTCGCTTTCACACCCCTGACTTGCGATCTCATGGGCTGGCGAGGCGCTGGTGGCAGTGGTGCTGCCTCAAAGTACGTCTTCATCCCGTAACACCCCCTGTTAACCCTTCTAACGTTGGTATCAGTGCCGTCTACGTCTTCATGGGCGGTCTTCTCATGATCATCGGTGGTATTCTCGAATGGGTTCTCGGCAACAGTTTCCCAGCCTGCGTCTTCTGCTCTTTCGGTGGTTTCTGGTTCTCTTACGGTGGCACTCTCATCCCTGCCTTTGCTGCCTACGCCTCATATGCTCCCGCCGATGCCACATCCGCTGCTGAAGGTCTTGCTACTCGAGGTTTCAACGCCAGTCTTGGTAAGTCCAGATACTCTGTCGGCTAGTGAGCTTTGGCTAACGACGTATAGCTTTCTGGCTGCTCTTCATGGGTGTCTTGTCCTTCATCTTCCTCATCTGCGCTTTCCGAACCAACGTTGTCTTCGTCATGATCTTCTTCAGCTTGACCTTCTGCTTCTTGATGATCACTGCTGCATTCTGGGCTCTGGCCGATGACTTCACTGGAAACGCAAAGCTCGCACAAAAGCTCCTCGTGGTATGTAATCTCCTACACTTCACATCTGACCGCCTAATAACTTGTCACAGGCTGGTGGTGCCTTTGGGTTCGTAACATGCATGTCGGGCTGGTACATCCTCATCGCTGTCCTCTTCGCCATCGTCGATTTCCCCATCCAAATCCCCGTTGGCGACTTGTCCACTGTCATCAAGGGACACAGCGAGAAGGCTCGTCGTGCTTAAGCTGGATATTATGGATTAATATGGAAAAGGGGTTGTAAGGATGATACGCACACCGGGGCATCTCCTTACTGGCGTTCGTTGGTGATGGCGTTGAATCATCCAACAATTGGAAATGGGTGGCTTCTTGTCCAACTTTTGGACCTTGAGATTCGAACTTGATTTAGTTATTGGCTATAACCAAAGGATCTAGTTACTTTATTAGCGGAAAAGAAAGTGAATATCAGGGACGTTTACCAAACGCGCTGTGCCACATTAATTATTCGCTTCTGAAGCACCACTGTTTCTTAAGTTTGGGAATGTAATATGAACTTGGAGGCGAAAGAGAGTGTCTTTTAGTTGACTTTATTGAGCCAGTAGATCTCCTTCAACTTCCACCCAAAGTCGCCACGCTTAGAACGGGCCCTAGAAGCGACACAAAGAGGAGACATCCAATAACACCTTATGTAGTTCTCCAATAGTTGGGTAGCTCTAGGGACGGCATCGCGAGAGGGTTTGCGTCGTACGACATTCCTCCAACTTGGTCCCATTCGACGCTATGAGCACTCAACAATGTTTCTCTTGGGCTACAAGGAATAAATGTGGCTATATGCCAAATTGAGGTCACCTTGGAAATCACGATGAATAATGAAAGAATTTAAAGGTTATAATATATTGTGAAATCACTGTAACTCCTATACTCCCAAATTCGAAATTCAGCCTTGCAGACTGCTTCTTGATTTCGGCCCTCTCAAGGCACACTCAAGACCTCTTTAAGCGACGCCTTTCTTTCTGAGAAGCACCTTGACATCATCTCCGTATCTCTCAAATCCAACATTGAATCCTCCACGTAGAGTCGGCACTCTGAGCCCCTCACCAGAAGCAGCTTCAATGTCAAAGGTACGAAGCATAGTGGCAACAACAGAGAAGACGATATCGGTACCAAACACGCGACCAGGACACATATTACCGGCAACTCCAAAAGCTCTGACCTTGCGAACGGCACTTCCAGAGACTTCGCCCGCTTTGTCGATGAAGCGCGAAGCTTTGAATACCGCGGCATCAGGTCCCCAGTTGTCGACGTCCAAGTTGGATGCACACATTGGAAGCATGAAGATCTCTCCTTGAGGAACGGCAATGGGATCCGAGTCGGGGAGGTTCAGCATGAAATCATGGCGAGCGATTCGAGCGACTCCTGTCATGTGAAGGCGGAGAGTCTCGTACCAAGATGCCATCAGCCAGGGGCACTCAGTGCGGACATTGGCAAAGTCCAGTCGTGGCTTGTCTTCTCCTTCAACATGCTTGAGTTGCTGAACCTCATTGAGAATGATCTTCATCAACTCTGGATCCGTCAACAAGTGGCGTGTAAGCCAGACTGCAAGAGTGCTAGTGGTTGCGAGAAGGCCTAGAGCTGAGACCATTTCAATATGGTAGTAGTCTGGGTTGGTCTCCCAGTTGGGATCACTGTGAGCCACGACGTTGATACTGTGAGCGATGGTTTTAACACGAGCTTCGCGGTGCTCGAGATGGAATTCGCGAAGTCTGGTAAGGAGGTATTTGCGAGAGTTCCAGGCTGAGTTTGCTGTAAGCCAAGCGAAGGGCCGCCCAAGAGTATCGAATGTCTCGCTGAGTTTCCTATAGCCTGTTAGAATATACTGCGAGGATGTCTTGAGCAAAGCTTACATGAACTCATTGGAAAAGTCCTGATCCATACTCCAGGGGTTGGCAACTCCCCAGACTGCACTCGCTGTAGCAGAGACAGCCAACTCAAACACCCAACGTCCAACAAGAACTTCATTCGTCTCGGGCATCCTCATCACGCGGTCCCTGATGTTGTTGCTAGAGCGTTGATTGAGGGATACAATGTTCTCGGCGTGTCCAAACTTTTGCTTGTGCAGAGGCTGAGGGTTGTAGCCGAAGACAGCCTTGATGGTCTCCTCCTTGAGACCAAAGAGGCGGGGACCAACGTAGACAAGAACTTGAGCAAGACCAGTGTCATTGACGTGACGAGAGAGAACTCGATCCATGCTGGGATGACATACGGTGATTCGTGCAAATGGGATGTTGATGGTGAAGATTGGTGCAGTGGTGGATTTGATCAGACGATTGATGTAGCGAGTGCTGTCGATTGTAAGGCCAAAGAGATGGCCCAACCAGGGGACAACGCCGGAGAGACGGGGGAGATTGGAGATAGAAGGGGTGTCATCGGCGATTGGCTTCTCCTTGAAGGAGCTTGGAGATGAGAGGAATTGTAAAAGTCTACTAGTTAGGGCTGGAAGAACGTAGACAGCCACGGAGAAGAGTATAAAGGTGGGGATGAGGCTGATGGTGAGGGAGGATAGAGCCTGAGTTTGGAGGATGGAAGACATGTTGGGTTGAGTCAACACTAATCAATAAGATAATAGGACTAAGATGCTTGTGATTGAGATGATGAGATGATTGCCCTGATTAACCTCTTCTTTCGTCTGGCCATCTCTTCCATTTATACAACCAAGATAGAGCTTCTCCTCAACTCCAAACATCCTCATCGTGATCGACTTCGAGTCTCGACAAATCTCTCCACCAACCTCAACTGTGAATAAGCCCAAAGGTCTGGACTAGCAAACTCGCCATATCACATTCACAATTGCATCTCTTATCACATGAAGAATGCCTCCAAGACCACGATCTAGCAAATTCTCGAGCCACATGTATCCAGACAAGACTTGAATGCCCAATGAACTCGAAGAATTTTCATGTTTGTCGTTACACAGGATTCAGGATAGAGTTAGATATTGTTTGAAAGACATATATGCAGTTGGTGCCCTTTTCTAAAGGAGTGGGTGTACACGGCGATGCCCTCACTTGTGAACAACCCAACAGACATTCTAGATCCGGCGATGCCTTGGAAGTTGTCAATAGTTCATCAGCAACGCCTAGGCTTGTAAAGCTTTCTCTGACGCCTTTTCTTACGTCCTTATGTCTCTCATATTGTAGGAAGCAAGGAGTTGGTGGCGTATGCATTTGGGGTTGGACCAACTTGTGCTGATAACATGGCATTGCGGTGAGAAGCGTTCATCTGTGTAATTCTAATAGCCGTTACGTTTTATTTGACTTTCCAACGTCTCGGCTAAGTATACAGTTCTTCAAGAGACGGCAAGTCTAAAGTGTGTAGCTTTGTTAATAGACTTCTGTACCTTAGACCAAGGACACAAGCTGAAGTATATCACGCCCCAGGCTACGAACCAACAGACCGCTGGAATCTCCGAATGAAAACGACTGTGTGTAATCTTTCTGCTTTTAGACACGTTCGTTCAGGTCTCCAGTTCCAAGTCTTTGGGTCACAGGCTAATTGTACAGCACCCTCTTAGTCGCCTCAACCCATGCAGACATATCGCCATCAAAAGTCTAGATCTACAACAAACAAATCACTTTCTCGGATCGGTGCGAATCCGGCCGAATGTGACTCCAGCCAGGTCTTCGGGCGCCGAGGAGAACAACGCCAAGTATAGTCGGTGTGAGTGTTGGACGTCATGATTTGACCAGAGGAGGGATATTGTTCTACACTCCGGGTATTGGATCTTGCGTCGATTAGGTAGGTGACGCTTGTATCACCAGACTCATCGGGATCGTCAACGGAGGATTATCACACGCGTTGGTAGGGCTGCGACCAACGGTGGCGTGAATCTTTACTCCTCCAGCGGTGCACGATCCAGGGATCTACGCTCACATGAAAGAGGTCTTATACATGGCTGTGGAACGGTTCTTAACTTGATTGGATATAGTGGTAAGGTTGTATAACGGGCGTTAATTATAGGATATGTACTGGAATGCCGTTGGATGTTGGTGTCGGGTTTGGCTGGCTGGTGAGACGGTACACTGCTAAACAATCGACTGGGCGGAATTGTTCATACATCATTTCGTCTCTAATAAGGCTCGAATTTAGTAAAAAGATGATCCGGTGTATTGTTTGTAAGCTGTGGGATTCTATGCAGTTGGCTGTTCATGTTTCATCGGTTGGAATGTTAAGATCGGAGTTGCCTCAAGACAAAACATGCCTCAATTGACAAACTGCATATGACTGCGACATGTTTCTCAATTTCATACTTGGGGAAAGACTGCGGTAGTCTGGAAATAATGTCTAGGGTGCAGAGACAACTTGTCATGTCTGTTTGCTTGTCTCAACTTATTGCCTACAGGTTTACACGAGCCACTTGCACAAGAATACACATATCACTGGTACGATTGCCGTGAGGGCACCATTTATTGGTAATAGCTGATCACAAAGTGAGCTTTCGTGTCCATAAAGCTTCAGTGTGAAGGGGGCGTAAGCGATCTAAAAGACGTGGATGTTGGATGAGTGTTGCATTTTACCCAGTAACGCAAACTAGTTCTCTCAACTATAAGAGAACTACCTGGGCATCGAACGTTTACTACGAGACTTTATTATGTCACATACTGTGACTAATTTCTCGAATTTCACCCGAAGTATAAGTGCACATCCATCTCGCTGATGAGTATCATGATGACTCAGTTTGGAGAGCATTGGTCTCTGAACAGCAAGACAATACGATAAGGGCGCGCCTTGAAGGTTTTCTCAATATAAAATTTATCATAAATTAACAAGGATTTAATATGATTCCATTGTTTGAGTCAAAATGTCTCCATATTGGATCCTTTTTTGGCAGGGAAGTGACTCGAATAAAGTTTTTAGTGTCAAAACTGAACTGCGATAGCGGAGGCGATTGATAAGATAAGAATCACAAATATTATCTCTTCCCCTCCAAACGTAATTACACTTAACCTTGCATTTCCTTTCTTTTCCCTTCTATTAGTCACTAATTCCCTCTATAATACACAATCGCAATGGCTCTGCGACTCCCCCTCCGAGCTCGATTGGCGTCCTGCGCTGCCGTTGCCCGTCCTCGGATCGTCCGCCGAGGTTTCGCTTCGCTACCAAATGCCGACGTCGCGTCCGATTCCAAGAGCGCTGCCATTGTGAACGAGCATGCGCCTTATATGGTCGCCACATATGCTCGTCCTCCGCCTGTGTTTGTCAGGGGAAAGGGTTCGTGGTTGTGGGATGCTGAGGATCGAAAGTTCCTGGACTTTACAGCTGGTATTGCTGTGAATGGCCTCGGCCATTGCGATCCTGAGTTTACTCGAATCCTGAAGGACCAGGTAAGAAAAATATAGTTTAGATGGTGGAACTAAGTTGCTAACGGCCAATTGCAGGCCCAAACTCTCGTTCACGCTTCCAACCTCTACTACAACCCATGGACGGGCGCCCTCTCCAAACTCCTCGTCGAAAAAACCCTCGAGTCAGGTGCCATGCACAATGCCGCATCAGTCTTCGTCTGCAACTCCGGTTCCGAAGCCAACGAAGCCGCTATCAAGTTCGCCCGCAAAGCCGGAAAGGTCGTCGATCCCTCAGGCGAGAAAGTCGAGATCGTCTCGTTCAACAATGGTTTCCACGGCCGAACTATGGGCAGCTTGTCCGCGACACCGAACCCCAAGTACCAGAAGCCCTTTTCGCCCATGGTCCCTGGCTTCAAGACGGGAAATTACAACGATGTTGCTGGTATCAATGATTTGGTCACTGAGAAGACATGTGGTGTTATTGTTGAGCCTATTCAGGGTGAGGGTGGTGTTACTCCTGCGACTGAGGAGTTCCTTGTTGCGCTTGCGAAGCGATGTCGTGAGGTCGGTGCTGTTCTTATCTATGATGAGATTCAGTCTGGTCTCGGCCGAACAGGAAGTCTCTGGGCTCACGGTAACTTGCCTAAGGAGGCTCACCCTGATATCCTCACAACAGCCAAGGCTCTCGGAAACGGATTCCCTATTGGCGCTGTGCTTGTGACGCAGGATGTCTCTGATAAGATGAAGGTCGGTGACCACGGGACTACTTTTGGCGGAAACCCTCTAGCCTGCCGTCTGGCGCACTACATCGTTGGTCGTCTCTCCGACAAGCAACTCCAAGCCGACGTTCGCGCCAAGTCCGAGATCTTCAAGAAGCGCTTCGCCAAGCTCCAGAGCCAATATCCCGATCTTGTCACCGAGGTCCGTGGACGAGGTCTGATCTTGGGTCTGCAGTTGTCTGAGGATCCTACAGCCATTATCAAGGCTGCCCGTGAGCGGGGATTGCTCATCATTAGTGCGGGCGTCAACACACTGCGATTTGTGCCGAGCTTGACTGTCACAGATGAGGAGATTAACCAGGGATTGGATATTGTGGAGGCTGCTATTGCTGCTACGCGATAAAGATAGACTTTGGTGTCTACGATTACTGATTAAAAGTGTTTGATGTTAAGACGAGAGCGAGACTAGACAAAAGGCTAGATACCATATACTGATTTACGTTTTGCAATTGCCGTAATTATGATGATGAGATGAATGTCACTTATAAATGGAAATAGAAGGGTTAAGTGAGTCATTGAGCTTAGTTTGAGATGGAATATAAACGTGTTGCGATTGGAAATCACAAAGTAATGGGGAAACACATGTCAAAATGTAGATTCAAATCAATTGATGGCCTGTGTCCGCATATGTAAAAACGCACATCATGACACGCTCAACGCCAAACATCCCCAATATCCTATATGCCGTCTATGTAAATCTAGCAAATAGCATGTGTCTTGCCAGTCTTGCCCTGGAGAGAATGTGACTCGTCCTGAGATGTGTTAGTTAATGAACAATTGTCATGGAGCATAAATGACTTACCTTGTAAACAGGGTGGGAATGCTTTCCACGACCCATGGCAGAAATGTGATTCCTGATGTATTCCTCACGCTTCTTGATGGATTCCTGATCTGTTTCCTTGAGAAGACCGTGGCACAGCTTGACATCGCAGATGAGCTGGTCACATCGACTCTTTGTGAAGTCCTCTCGGACAACAACACGCAACATCTTGACACCAGAGTTGGGAGCCATGGTGTAAGCGGGGACGACCCAACCTCGAGAACGGAGGTGGTGAGCGAGAGCAAACTCATCGTAGTGGCGATCAGGATCACCGCCCTCTTCAACAGTCTTGAAGCGGAAGGCAACGAGGGGGAGACCAGCTCCAGATCGTTCTGACATGATGACGAAACCCAAGTTCTCAAGGGTTTCTGTGAGGTAATCGGCAGTACGGGTGAGGTTGCTCATGATAGCACGGTAACCATGCTTGCCGAGACGGATGAGCTGGTAGTACTGACCAATGACCTGTGATGCACCCTTGGAGAAGTTAAGAGTGAAAGAGGATTGATCGGCTCCGAGGTAGTTGATGTTGAAGACGAGCTCTTGAGGGAGATACTCGGGAGATCGCCAGATGACCCAACCAACACCAGGATACACAAGACCGTACTTGTGACCTGAAACATTGATAGAGACGACCTTTTCACATCGGAAATCCCATTCTAGGTCAGGGACCACGAAGGGCGCGACGAAACCGCCACTGGCAGCATCGACGTGGATGGGCACATCGAGATTCCGCTCGACGAGGAGATCGTTGATGGCCTTGATATCCTCATACTCGCCAGTGTAAGTAGTTCCGAGAATAGCGCACATGCCAATGGTGTTCTCGTCGCACAGATCAACAGCCTCATCAGGATCCATGACGAATCGATCAGGAGTGCAGTAGACGAGCTTCTCGTCAATCTCGAAATATCGAGTAGCCTTTTCCCAACAGACCTGCACAGCAGAGGACATGACGATGTTGGGGTGCTCCGTGCTCTTGCCCTCAGCTTGTCTGCGGTTCTTCCAGCGCTTCTTCATGGCCAAGACAGCAAGCATGATGGCTTCTGATGAACCAACAGTAGATGTACCGACTGATTCTCCAGGAGGCGCGTGGAAGAGATCACCGATCATGTTGACACAGCGGTTCTGAATATCGGCGGATTGAGGGTACTCCTCGTAATCGATGAAGTTCTTGGAGAAGGACTCCGCCATGAGTTTTTCGGCCTCATCTTCCTGTTGCGGGTGTTAGTGAAGCTATCCAGATATATGATGGCGGGGTAATTTAGTGCTTGTGCTGGTGTTGCACAGAGCTAGCTGTCATCCCCAGAGCCAAGAAACGGTTCGTCTCCGCTGTGGGCGGGCTTGGCAAACGACGGATATGGATTGATTACGTACCATGTAAGTAGTGACAAAGGATGCCAAGCTAGTGAAATAGCTGTTAGCAGCTGTTTTTGGCTCTTGAAAGTGGAGAGGGGACAAGACAAGAGAACTTACTTGAGCATGGGGTTGTTGTCGAGACTCAGATCATCCTTGATCATGCGATAGGCAATGTCGCGGGGCATCTCGTTCTCTGGCATATGATGCCTGGGGAGGTCCATGCCCGCAAAGCGAGAGCCGTAAACGCTGGTGGTGAACTCATCCTGGTAGCTCGCAAGCTGCATCTGAGGCTTTCTCGAGGTGCGAGAGCTCGTGGAGCGAACAGACGCAGCGTCAGAGTCGTCTCTGGCACGGACAACGGAGAGATGAGACATGTTGTCGATGAACGAAGGAGTAACAGCTCCGTTGGCAGAAGAAGGAAGATGTTGGCCGTTTGAGGGGAAATAACCGTTTGTACTTGTCTTTACAGGTCTTCCTTGGTCGTCTGTCTCGATGATGGGAACAGGTGAGGCAGCCTCACTTTCTGAATGCTGTACGAGACTCATGATGAAAGAGTTGGAGGAAGAGGGGTAGCTCTTGATATAGTAGATATCACACAAAGTTTAATGTAACAGGCCAAAAAGGGAAAAACGCAAGCAGCCGGTTTTTCTTGCTGTTGTGTCTGAGCTGGTTTGGGTTGCGTGGCGCGCGTTTGGATATGGTCGTTTTAGTTGGTTAGAGCTACAACCACGATGACGGCAAGCCGCAGCCGTGAAGGTTCAGTGGAGTGGCAGAACGGGAAGCTCGGCAATAATTTTGGCGTTTGAGAGCTGAAACTGTTTCTTAGTGTGGAAAAAAAAAAGGACGTGTAATACAAGAGGAGTTGTTATGATGGAGATGAGGGGAGGGGAGACAGATAGATACCCAGAGGATATAAGAGATGGTTATGTATGAGTGATGCAATAGAAAGGATACGAGTGGAATCAAGAGAAAACAAAAGAACTTTCAACGAGGCAGAGCCACCGACTTTTTAAACAATTCTCATGAGGACATGAATAAAATAAATGCCTCCAAATTTACAAGCATGGAAATCCGGCACCTCAAACGGGAGCCCGCGCATAATGCTATCCGTAAACCAAGGTCAAAGGCCCAACGTGTCTGGTTCTGGTACCTGAGGCTTCTGTAACTTTACAAGCACTGCCCTGTTGATGATCCCGATCCCAGCATCGTACGTATTATCCTCTGTACCAGCGCAGCCAGAGACACGCGAGAAAGATACCTGACAACTACATGATCTATACCCAGATCACAGACCCCGTTTTCGTCCGCTTTTCTCCTTTTTTTGAGAACGCTATTATTGGGCTTTTGTCGGTGCGAAGGGGCCTGATGATGACGATTGCTCACCTTTGCGCTTAATCCCCCTGTTCTTTTCGGTGATACTGGGGAGTCTCGTTTTTGACTTACACCGACACCTACCGTTCTGCCTCTAGCATTGGCTGTATATCCCTCATAGATTTCTCTAAATTACTGGGTTTTTGAAAGTCAAGTTCTTTTGTTTACGGGCGGCCTCACGTAGACCGAAATAAGTAACCCAGTGATGATTTTCTGTCTCAGTCGTAACGCAAACAAGTCAAGGTCAGCTCAGCTTACGGGCCCCCTTTGTTACCCCATTGGGTAACTCGGTCAGGTTGATTCGGTGACGTGAAGCCGAGAGAAGTAACATGCGGTTTTCGGGTTCTGGTCTCCGGGCAAGGGTTGGAAAAGAAAGCATCTGATGATGTTCCCTTTTTCGAAACGCAGACGGTCAGTCTCCGAGGGAAAGGGGTTGCGGTGTTTTTTTTTTTCCCTCTGAATCAGATCGGACAGATATCCCAGGCTTTGGGGTGCAGGTTCTGGGGGACTTGATCCTATTTGTTGGGCCTTTTCTGGGACGATGTAGGTGAGTTAACGTAGCATGGTATTTCCCCAGGTAAAGTCGGTGTGCCCTGTTTACGATGTGCTCTATTGCTGTTCTCATCTCGATATGGATGTTGGATAATATTGCGGGCGTTGAACCCCCAAACTCACTCCATTGTCTCTTGATCTTGATTATGGGCGCATCTATCTTGCGCCTCATGTTGTTTGCCCCCATATTTTGGCCACAAGAACTCGATTCCATTCATTCAGTGAAGATTATCGAAATTTATAGAGGACAGGGCTCTGGAATGACTTGCAGCGTTAGTTGTAAGCCCCTGCCTGGGCATCAATATTGTTCTCGGTGATAGAAAGGCACAATTTTACCGGGTAAATTCGAGAACTTAGGTTATTACCAACATCCTTTCTATCCTTCTACCTTCCCTTTTCCATCATCGCCGTGACCCTTATGGTCCAAGTCTCTCTATTGACTATTTCCTTGATATTTACAGGGCTGAATAGAATTGGAAATGTCGCGACGGCAGCCCGGCCAACAAGCGCGGTCCAATCACGGAGGTTACCGGCCGGTGAGACGGGCCTCCAGACCCACATCCACGGCCGAGTTCCGTATGAAATGCTTCACTCTTTTTACCCAAAGGCTGAGACTTGAGGTCGGAACGGACGCTATAGGTACTTGATTAGCGAGTACTCTAGGCTATTATGCCGAGCGATCAGCCAAGGAGGCTGGACTCGCTCACCTCTGCTCACCTTGTCTTGCTACAGCATTATCCACTATGTATCGTTTCATATGAGGCCATCTAGACCCGTAGAAAACCACACGTCTACTGGTAAGCATTACGAGTTCTGAATGATGGACAAAACTCTCCTCAAAACACACGTATCACTTATGCCTTTCTATCCGTGAAGAATAATCCCCAAACGGGGGCCATGGACGATTTCTCCGTGAGCTGCTTTATCATCCCAAGTAACCTGACCTCTGTCATCCAAGTGGCGTGTCTTTTTTATTCGTCACAGCCCAACATCCCCGGATTGAAAGCTGAATCCTTGCTCTTATTCCAATCGGCCCAACTCCCGCCCAATTTCGTGGGGTCTATCATATGTTGCGTGTCGTGCTCACCGAGACAAGAGAGCTCTGACGCAGACACGGTCCGTCCGCCCCCTTTTGAGCCCTGTTTTTTTCTAGACGCAGACAATGCTTCGAATGGCTTCACTTTTGTCGGTGGGCATCGCAGGCCGAGGCTTTAGTGCGGGTGGTTTCTTGCTACGTATGCCATTTTGTAGGCAAAACAGGCTGTATTGGCAACTTTGTCAGCGATTACAGCACCTACATGCTGTTCAGCAGTAGTGAATAAGCAATGACACTGCATATTCTTCACGCATCAGTATCAACCACTACATCTTCGAAGCGATGCTTCCAGCCACAACGCCTCAGGAGGAACTTGCGTTAATCAGGCCCACAGCGCGACGGTCCGCTGGGATTCAATATCCACTATCCAGGCTTGGCTGATCCGTTTTGTCCCGTCTTACTAGGTATTTCGAGAAGATGGTCAGTGACTTTGGGCAGTCTTCTAGAAATTCGATGCATTGTAGCTTCGTTGACCAGGCAGCCCTTGTCTTGCTGATCCTCATCACACCTTACTCCAGGCCACAAGTTGTACAAACCGTTCTAAGAAGGGTGTCCTATGTGTATCTACAAACAGTCATATCTTCGTAAGAATCAACTACAGAAAACATATGCCCTCATCGTGTACTCCAACTTACAAACCAACGCAAAATGCAACCTCGCGATGCAACTCATCTCGCTTTATGCGACAAACCCACATCATCATGCAGTATCCATCTCAATGCAAGATCCCGTCCCTTCCGAGCTGAATGTACATACAGATACTCTAGTCGTCATCGCCCATCCCCGTCAACCCGCTCGCGAGTCCCTGCATACGTCTCCCCAGCAGATCATCAGAACTCTTGAGCTTAACGAGGCTCTTGTTTCTATTCTTGCTCTTGCTGAGACCCACACTCTTGCGTCTCTTGGCGTTCTTATCCCCGTTTGATAAAGAGGTTCCGTTGGTGTGCGCTCGTGGTGTCGTGTCGCCGCTTTCACTGCCGCCGTTGAGGTCGGGACTTTGCTGGGGTGTTGTTTGGTTGGAGCTGCGTCGCTGGTTCATCTTTGTCATGCTGATCTCGAGGGGTCGATCTTCTTCGCTGGATTCGGTGCGCATGTGATGACGACCGTCGCCGTTGATTCCGAAGCCGTGGGTTTGGGACCTGGCGGCTCGGGCTTGTCTGTCTTTGCGAACACGCATGACTTCTGCGTGGTCGAAGAGTTGGTCGAACCAATCGATGCATCTCTCAAAGTGTCTCCAAGCAGGAGGATACACAGTTGGGAACTGCATGAAACCATGAGATGTCCCGGGGATCAACATCACCTCAGCTGCGTCTCTGTCATTGAACTCGGCATTCTGGTGTCTTCCTGATTGTTCCTGAACAAATGCAGCCTCTTTAGCACGGCGAAGTCGTCCCGCAAAGATGACCGTATCATCGACCAGAGGATCTCGCTCTCCAGTCATAAAGTATGTCTTGGGAAAGTCGACCAGCAAGGCCTCGGGCGCCAACACAGGGCTGAGAAGATAGTCCTGGCTGAAATCAGGTCGGTTATGAGCACCGATATATAAGATAATCATGGCTCTCATCATCTCTGGCGTGAGAACTCGATCGTTGAAGTAAGAGATCATGGATGAAGTGGCCAGTCGCGTCTTCATCGGTTCAGGATGATGAGATGACTTCTTCTCATCGGTCTCAGATGCATCTTTCGGGAGACTCAACGATCGAGGACCAACATGAGAGAACTCAGGGTGTGGGCTTCTAGGTCCTTGAGATGCCGCAATCAAGGCCTCTTTCGTCGTCAGAGCGCTCAACTTGTTGTGCGGTGGTGGTGAACCATCTTCTTCGTCATCAGAGTGATGAGGAGTTCCCACGAGCTCATTATACTGCATGCTCTTGCGGCGCATGATTCTTCTATTCGTTTTCCTCATCTTTCGATCTTTGATCAGAGACATCTGCTCATCTGTCATCCAGTTGCCGATGTTCATATCCAAAGCTGGATAGAAGCAGACAAGTCCGTCAGGAGCTGGCAGTTCTGTTTGACCTGGTCTGCGGAACGCTGGATGTCTCGTCTCCATGATCATCAACGTTGAAGCAACCGCCAGGTTTCCTCCAGCGCTGTCTCCTGTGACGATGATTCGAGGGACTTCTGTGCCTGGTAGACCTATACATCGACCCTTGGTGTTTACAATAGTTCTGTAAACATCGAAGCACTCATTCAGTGCATATGGATACGGGAACTCAGGTGCCTTCTTATAGTCGAGACTGAGGATCGGCAAAGCTGACTTGGCAGCCCATGAGAACAGCTTGTCGTCGTTACAGCGAGGGTCCATGGCAACAAACCCACCACCGGGAATATCAAGAATCAGCCTATCGTGACGGTGAAGATCTGATAATGGCCCATCGTAATACAGCCAAGCAAGAACGGGTTCTTTGTAGTCGCTATCAGCGGGCCGTGGAATTCGGATCTGTCTCGGAGGCCATCGCATGAAACGAGGTCGCATGAGTCCTTGAAAGAAACTCAAATACGGCGAGGTGCCCTTATTCCAGGACACTCGCAGATGTTCAACAGTAATCATACCGCGGACCTTTCGGACCTTTTCGTCTGCCTTTTCAGCAGCAACGAGGTAGAAGAGCGAGAAGACGATGCTCGCCATATCGCGCAACCATTTTGTCTTGATCTTCATGGCCGTCCAGAAGCCAGCGTCCAGCGCAGTCAAGACCCATGTAGCTCGGTAGTATGTGGCATCGTACATATTGGCCATGGGCTCTGGGCTCGCGAGTCCGACTAGGGTGCTGAAATTTCGGGCGGCGTATAGATAGATCATCGTTATCACGACGGTTTGCCATGCTGTCAGACGCTTGGAAAAGAGTCTCGAGAGCAACTGAGCGCCGGGAGGGCCATGTTTGTGGCCTCTGCAAGTGTGTTAGTACTCCGAGCGCATATTCGGAGGTGGAATGCCTACTTTACTAAATAGGCAGACCAAAAAGTCAAGACCGCGAGGACCTGAAGTCGTCGAGACTTGACTGAAGGCCGTCCTAAGACGTGGTCTATCATGCTGAGTAGACCGAGTCTGAGTATGTGTTTATTTGGTGATGCCGACGAAATATGCAAGGTCAGCAAAGAAACAAAGGAAATCAATTAGAGCGCAGACACATGGTGTCGTGTCGTGTCGTGTCGTGTCGTAGGGTCTTTCGGATAAATTGATGGTCGTTCACATGAAAGAAAAAAAGGTCCTGTAACACGCACGACTCAATATCCTCGGTGGTGGGACTAGGACAGGACAGGGTTACGAGAGCCTTATCGTGAATTGGCCGTTATAAGTCCTTTTATTGTCGATAAGTGTAACGGTCTGTAGTATACTACGTGTTTGAGGTGTTTCACGTTCACAAGAATAACATCAATGAGAAGAGGAAAAGAGAGAACAAAAGTCAAAAGCCATTGAATAGTTACATAAACAACAGAGGCAAAGACCAATTCTCAAGCAAACAATGGATCATTCCAAGCTCAATTCGGTCCAAAAGCCGAAGTGAGATGACGACTCGTGACTCGTGACATGTTTTGGTAGCGTAGCACTCACTGCCTTTGTATTTACATGTGAAAGTGTCATCTCCAAACTCCGGGGATAAACGCGGGGGACATTTTATTCATCTGTGGGGGCGCATTGAGTATGACGTCGCTAACATGGGGAATATTACAACATGACATTCTAGAAGTCAATACAACAATCTACAATTTACGTGTTCTAAGACAAAAGAAACTATCGTCGATATGCCACGTCTTTTTTTCTTGCTCACGAGGTCTCAAGCCTCTCCCGTCGCAAACCCCAATTATGCATGGCACATCAGCTGAAAGGAAAGGCTAAATGGAATGCGAGCTTTGTTCATGCGGGACACATGATTCATGGCTTGTGGCGGCACGTGTCTGCTTCTCCAAATGCAGCACCCCCTGGCTTGTCAATCACATGCAGCAGCATGGCTGACTTGTCATTGACAAAGAAGGATTATTGATGCTTTGCGAGTGGCCAGCGGCTTTATGGTTATAGGCGCTTGTGGACGGTTTATGGATGAAGGGACGAGGTTTGCCAAACATTCTCGAAGTTTGAGAAGAAAGTAGCCAAGACTTATTGGAAATCTATGTTTCAAAGTAGAGTCATTATATTCATTGCTCGTGTTCAGTACCCACCCAGTTGAACGTACACTACGGTTTCAACCTATACTGAGGGTTCATTGCTAACTATGGCCAACGTCGCGAAACCATTGCATGGCAACCAGTGGAAGGATTGACTTGGAGACACCGCCGCTGATTCTGTTGCCGCTTCTTGATAGCCCGCGTGTGTTTCCAGACAGCTGCCGTGTCCTGGAGCAGTGGTTCACATCCACTCTCCAAATCAGACACTCACCTCAATTGTCACACCAGTACCCCAAGACAAAGGGGCCTATTGGGGAATGTGTAGCAGTCTTGGTCATCGTACTGAGGTGCATGTGTGGGGTATCTAAAACTAAAAATAGAGTTGTTAGGACACTGGACAGATCTTGTCCAAAAATGCCGCAACTTGACAGGCAAAAGCTTGGAGACAGAGGGATTTGAACCCCCGGCCTTTCGCAAGCATTCGAAACAATGCAAAGCGAACGTGATACCCCTACACCATATCCCCGTTTATTGTTGAGGTTACTTGGATCATCTTGGATAATATGCTAATGCTGAAAGTTCATTTCCATCACTTATCCGGCTCTCACACCCGATGCCCCACTTCAACTTTCTGCTTGGGAAAAGCAATTCCTTTTACACTATATCTACAGAATTCCATATGTTTTGCTAGAAAGGGCTTCTTTCTTGTCAAATGGTTGTGGCAGCTGATATGACTTTACTCTTGAAAGTTCCCACCCGACGACCTACGCAGAGAGGAACTTATCATAAGCTTGGACTAAATTTCGGAGTTCTTTAGGCCTTAAATACTGAATAGATTTGATAATTTAGTGATCATTTGGTGAAATCCTAGGATGCGTTATGCCTAAGACTCGTCGATGAACTCATGAAATCTTTGTAAAGCTCGACCAGTCCGCACGCCGCCAGCCAAGGCCAGTTGCCATTAAAGCTTACTTTCTTTACACAAGGACAAGATACCAACAGAGTCTACCAAATGTCATTCTTTGACTCCTTTGCTTTTTTGTATCTGTTTCGCCTTCTCCTCGGTTGCGCTGACTTAGAAATCATGCGTTAAGTTGTGTATGTAATATCGTATAAGCAGCGACATTTCAGGTTGGGCATGGAGGCTCAACCAGTGGCCGCCGTGCGGTCAAGGAGAAGGAAAAGAAGAAGTAGGGGGCGTGACCAGGGGAACCCGTTTGCCTATGATGTCTACTGACTCTTTACATTTACTTGCTTGCACAGGATCGTATATACACCTCAGAGATACTGGCGCAAATGCTCAGCAACCAGGTTGTACTCCATCTTTATGCTGCTAGCAGAAAACTTGCTGAAGTCTTGGGGTGCACTTCTAGTACTTTCAGGGGGATGTTGTTTCAGCTTTCGTCAGAGACATGATCAATTTTACTCATATTCAAGCTACTTTGAAAGATACAGGAGAAAGTTAAACCTATCCATACCCGAAGCTCTGCTCCAGCTATTTTTCCATTATGTCATTCCGCTCATCTCTCGATTTGGCCAAGTCAGCGCATCACTTATTTGACCTTGCTGACGACAAACTGAGCAGCAGCGTTGGCATCCTGGCTGTAAGTCAAGTGGTCAGGGGTGATAGCAGCAGTACCGGCACAAACACCATCGCCAGTGTGGCAGATGATCTTGACGCGGTCAGCGGGAACACCCTGGATAGCCTGTCGCTGGACTATAAAGCTGTTAATCTCTGAGGTTTTGTTGGAGGATGAGAGTGACTTACAAGGATCGCCAAAGTTGACAACGGCAGCAATCTTGCTAGTGGTATCGGCAGGGAGAGATTTTGCTGCGTTGTGAACCAGCATAGCACCCTGCGAGTATCCAGACATGACGACCTTGGTCTTGGGGCACTTCTGGTAAGCCTCCTTAACAAGACTCACCCTGTATATGTTAGATACAAGCGACTTCATGAACTCGAGGTTTGACTTACATCTTCTGGGAACCGGCCTGGTCACCCATCTGCATGATACCACCAACACTGGCGGCATACTCAACACCTTGGACAGCGAGCTTGTCGCTTCCGAGCTGCTGAGCAAGAGCCTGGAAGAAAGGAGGTCCGGCAGCAGTGCCGACGTTGCCCATTTCAGTGGTACCGCGGGCGAAGATGACAGTTACGTCCTTGCAGTCGCCGCTGAGACCATTCTGAGTGGAACCACCAAAGCCACCGCTGCTGCCACCTGCAGATCCAAGGAAGCTGCCGAAGGGAGAGGTGGATGAACCGCCCTCAGCGCGAGGAGTCTCGCTAGAGCCTGTGGGCTGAGAAGCGGGAGCGCTGGTTGAAGCACTGCCGGAGGTGTCTCCTGTGGTGTCTCCACCAGTAGAGCCTCCTGGGAGGAAGCTTGAGCCACCACTTCCAATAGGGAGACTAGGAAGACCACCGGTTGAGCCTCCAGAGCTGGGAAGACCTGGAATGCTTGGAATGCCTCCAGATGAACCACCAGAGCCTAGACCCGGGATACTGGGAAGTCCTCCGGTTGAACCTCCAGAGCTAGGAAGACTTGGGATGCTGGGAAGTCCACCAGTAGAACCGCCAGAGCTGGGAAGTCCAGGAAGACCGCCCGTGGAACCTCCAAAGCTGGGAATACCTGAGCCAAGGCCAGATCCGAGACCCTGTCGAGGAGCAATGGGACCAGCCACTACAAAGGGCACGAGGGCGATGAGAACAGACTTGGAGAACATGATGAATAAGGTCAAGTTTTTAAACGAAAGGAGTTATTTAGAAGCGAATGAAAAGAAAAAGCGAATGAATGCAAAGTTGCTGAGCTGAGTTGATCTGATTTCGACTCTATTGACGACTTTCATCCAGCTTATATGCTCTCAACTCCAACGCTCGAACCTCTTCTTGAACAACCCTGGATCGTGATAGATTCATCCAAACCTCGTACTTCATCCGCAAGGTCTTCCCGAGTTGGAAAGGCTTCCGAGGTTCTATCAATCTCTCACGACGGTGAGCCTTACCTCAGATCATTCCATTGCCATGCCATTACTCAACAACCCTGGCTGGGAACCATCTCGTAGATCGTTCACGTAAATCTCAAGGGTGAGTTGGTAGGGGTGAGCTTGGATGGTGAAACGGGACGAGGACAGATGAAACAGCGGCTTGGGCCGTGCGGTTGAAACGGCGTCTGAAGTTTGGAGCTGGACAAAAAGGATGAGACATTTTAGTACTACTTTCTTTGGTGGACGCTTTTTATGCTAGTTCGGGGCTCATTTATACGCTCAGTTTCACTGAGAAACAATGGGCCGCACGTTTCTTTGTTTGACGGTAGGCAAATCCGAAGTAGTAGTCAATGTGGAACGCATGGAGATACGACGGCTGTAGATCATGTAGTAAATAAACTTGATTGATTTAATTGTCAAAGCCATTTTCGTTTTCTATCAACTGATCATATCTGACTCGGACTGTGTTGTAGTTAAATTGCGTCTCGGGTATAACTCAGTTCGAGGAATAGTGCTATCCACACTGAAGCTTAGCGAGGAGAGAAAAAAAGAAGTCAAAGTAATCATTCTTTCTGATATATGACAAGTAAAACCGCTATGCTAAAAACATGACTGAGAAGAGTGCTGTTAAATCCTATTTGTTGCTTTGGTACGAATGATTCTCCTATTCGTGGAATACACATATAAACCTCCGTCATCAACACAAACACCACGTCTCACGACTCGCAACGTTAGACATTCTTGGCAATAACGGTATATCAGGCGGCATATTCCTTTTCTAGCTCACGAAACTAGCAGGGCTCCCCTTTGGAGGCACGAGCTCGGTGGCCTCATCGCCCCTCTGATCAGCGAGACGGACCTTGATGCCCGCGTGCTGAGCGTAGACGCGGAGGCCAATCACGCACACGGCATTCCACGGCTGTTTCTTCTTCTGCTTGAGTCGGGGAAACAGCGACGTGGGTAGCATATCGTCGTCTGAGCTTGAGGAACTATCGTCTGGCTCTGATGAGGACACGGACGCCGAGTCTGAGCTGTCGAAGTCCGATTCGGAGGTTGGTTCTGTGGGAGGCGTGAAGACGGGGTTTGTGTCTATGCTTTGCATGGTTGTTCTTCTGCTGTGTTGGAGACTGTGATCTCGTGATGGTATTGGTGAGTTTGCGAGAGATGGAGGGCCTCTGCGGTCGGCAGATGAATATTTGGTGGTAAGATCACTTGAGTCTGCAGATCCTCTTCTCTTGTTCTCGGTTTCTTGGCCCGTATCAACTGAAGACGGGTCCCCTTTTGGCTCGGTTGCTGTTTCACTAAGAGTCGAGACTTGCAAGTCACTCTTGGAAGAATCTTCTGGCCAAAATCCAGGCGGCGCCTTATCTGGTTTGGCACCAGTATCATCCTCTTTCCTGCTAGGCTCTTCCTCATCCTCCTCCTTTGATGTAGGCTCCTCTTTTTCCTTTTCTTTCTCTTTCTTGGACTTCTCCTTTTCAGTGTCCTTCTCATTGAGAGACCGATTATACTCGTTCCTCATCTGCACCATCGCTGCCTCCATACTGGCCATAGCTTCTGCCATCTGTTTCTTCTTCTTTTCTTGTTTCTTGCCCTTGAGTTTCTTCTTCTTCTCGAGTTCTTTCTTCTTGCGGAGGGCCTCATCTTCATCAACGATTCCGCCTTTGGCATGTGCGAGATCATATTGCAGACCGATCTGGCGTAATTTTTGCGGATTACTGTCGGCTCCCATCTTGACCATCTTCTGGACAGTCGGAAGCCAATAATATCTCTCGGCCGTGATTTTGGGGATAACTTCATATGTACCTGGCTCGAGTTCGACCTCACAGTTGATCGAACGTCGATCCCACTTATGAGCCGGACGCACCGAGCAGATGGGTGTGTTATCGTCAGCTGTCTTAAGCAAAAAGTGCAGAACAAATTCGTACTGCCCCTTCAAGTCTTTGAAGTAACGTTCATCAAGCTGAGACTGTCAGTATGAGTTGGTTTCGCCAATGATCAGCATACCTGTGAGAGCACAATAACCACCATGCCTTCTTCTTTGACCTCGATGATAAACTTCTTCTTAAGGTAGCCGGTAAGCCAAGAGATGCTAACACTTGTCCATTGTTGAGCTACCGTCCATCGCTCGTCAAAAAGACGAGTTCTGTACATCCACTTGAAGTTATCGAGCATGTCGCTGAAAGACATCCAGAAAATTCCGTCGTCGCCAAACTGATGCTGAAGCTTTCGAATCATATGAGGGGTCCATTGCTTGGAGCCATCTGACCATGGACCATGCCACTCGCCATGGCCATCTTCAGATTTCTGTCCCCAGGGGTTTCTGTATGTGTCAGTTGTCTGAGCCAAGCCAAAATCTGCAAGTCATATTTACCGAATTTTGACCAAGCGGACTTTGTTGCCATCTTCGTCTTCAACTTCGGCCACCTTGAGAATCGAGTATGCATGTCGTAACACAATTCCGTTGTTATGGTCCTCTCCTGGACCGCCGGCAGACAAACCAAAGACGAATTCTCCATCTTCACCGTCGGATCCCAACATCTCACGCCACAGTCTCTCCTTGCGAAGGACTCTATTACCAGCGACCACAGTATTGACGCCGCCTGTGAGATCTTCGACTGCAGTGCCAGACCACCCACCATCCAAAGCATGATAGTCACCATGAACCTTTGCAAACTGAAATGATCAGTTTTTATCTTGAGTATATTAAAGAGACAACTTACAGCTTTCTCAAGCAAGGGTAGCCAGGTCTCGTTAGGGTCCTCACACTTGGCAAAGTACAAGGACTCAGAGCCAGTTTGCTTCTGCGTCTTGTAAAGCCGAGCTTTCTTGCCCGTTGCATCATAGACTTCAGTATCTTCTCCGAAGTCTTTGTGCTTCAAGTAAAGGTTATCGTCAACAACAGTCGAAATCCACTCTCCGTCGCGGTTGAAGACGAAGCCGTAGACGCCGCATTCTTCATCTTTTGCGACACAGATCTTCTTCATTAAATCTTTGCGATGAGCGATAGTTGCGAGAGCAGCCAGCCACCAACAGTCGCCACCAGCACCTTGTTTGATGTCTGTACTGGAGAAGCCGCTGACTGTGAACTGAGGGTTTTCGAAGATCCATGGAATGCGATGGACTGAGCCTGGTCTGGAGTATCGAGAACCATAGTCCCTGCCGTTGAACATGCGTCTTTGCAGGTTGTTCTTGTTGGTGTCAGGTTTGTCGTCCTCCAGCTCGTCGTCCTTCTTCCGTGTGTTGCGATATTTCTTCATTCGCTGAATATTAGGTCCGCTCTCGGACGACGCTGGTTCGTCATCACTGCTGTCCTCCTCAAACCGTCTCCCCATTAAACCATTGAGACAATTATCTTGGTAAGACGAAAAGTCGGTCTCAATGTCAAAGTCTGGGTCGCTGAATTTGGCATTGGTTCGTTCACATTCACGAACTATCGCTCTAACTCGAGCACGGCATTCTTTGGCAGCATCTTCATAGCTCTGCGCTGCATTGCGAGACTTGGGATAAGACGAGTCGGCGTCTGTGAGAAGTGACTCATACAGGCTCTGAGGAAAGATGGAAGTGACTTTTCCCGGTGCCTTGGAATGATACTTTGACCAGAACTTAGAAACCAGAGCTTGAGGGTTCAGAGGTTTACGCTTTGGCTTAGTAGGAGTAGGCTGCTGGCCAGGAGTAGGAGGAGTTGGCTTCATGGTTAAGAATTAATTTTCGGGACTTGAAATGTCTAAAGTGCATGGGAAATATTGGGGTCCTATATAGCCTCTCAAGGCATCTTCTTTGTAAAGGTCGATTGGACGCCTTTGTCAGAGACGCAGTGATCTGTTTGGTTGGTGATCACCAGGTAACAGCAGCATCGCCGTGTTGCACATGGGATTGCGCAAAGTATACTGAAAGTGCAGTGCATGCATCTTGGCCTGTAAGCCGCCACTTTACGCTCTCTACCCGTAACGAGTCGGTTACAATGTGCATCGCGAACAAGGCTGTGTCAGGAGTGATGGTTGAAAGGTGGGTGAAGTACAGCGGGAAGCGTTACAGTTAATTAGGCAACAAACGACAATAACTGGAGACGTCGAAAGATGATGGATTCTTTGAGGTCTGATAGGTTGATGACATGGACAATCACGGTTGAAAGAGAGGCTCTTTGTAAGTGGCAGTGTTCAAAGAAGCGATGTAAGCTATTATTCGCTGATGATTGCAGATACCGGCCGAAACCGTGGTTCGTTGTGAAAAATAAGGCTGAAATCGTTCGTCAGAGTTGATCAAGCCAAGCGACCTACCCTAAAAGCAGCAAGTTGGGGGCCATTTACAACATACAACAGTCAGAACTAGAGCAACAGGTGCATGCCCAGAAGAGCACGAGGAAGTGAATTACTTGGTTTTATCAGCCTCATGTTGACAGAAATGGCTGATCTAGTCCGCTTTGTTCAGTTTTGAGGCCGTTGATTCACCTTCTGTAGTGGCATCGTCTGACGTTGTATTGCAGATAACGAGACGAATCAAAGGCGACTTGATCTCTGCCACGTCAGCAGGAAAGATGCCTCGCGGGAGCCTGGACGAGACGAGGGAGAAGAGATGAGGTTCAACAAGAGAAAAGGCAGAAACGCAGGCTGATTCGGAATATAGTACGCCTGGACTGAGATGTATCCGGGGGTGGGATAGCCCCAGGTTGATTCAGACTCATAATGCCGAAGGATCATCACGACCCAGTCCATTTCTTGATCTTCGGACATTCAAAACTGAGCACCTTCTAAAAAGAGTATCTTGATTCAATACCTCGATTGACTTCGATGCAGACAATACAGTCAGTGCGCAACTAGGTTTCGGTACAAATGCCTGATGCTGCTTTGACAGGTTTGACAGCCTCCACTTGGTTCAGCAACGGCCTTGTTTTGAGACCCTTCATGAGTCAGTCAACAACCGGTTTGCTTCACTTATTTCTGCAAGGTACCCAGTGATCATCATTTTTTGGTAGTGAACCAACCTAACGCATTCCCCTTTTTCTTTTCTCGGTATTGTCCATTGCCCATTCCATGTTTTGAACAAACTCTAAAAACTGCAAACTCCATCGCGGAGCCGGAAATCTCGGAGTTTCTTACGGAACCGCACACAGTTCAAGAGCACAGAGAACTCATCGAGAGTTGTAAAACCCACGTGGGACTGCAACGTTAGCGGTTCAGTAGCTTACGGTACGGCGCTGGATATGGAATGAGGAAAGCCGTTAGAGGACAACCTGTGGATAGTGAGAGTTGGTCTCTAACTAAAGGTCCTGGCCTGAAGCTTGTTCCTTCGTCCATGTGGATTCTGGAATGTGAAAGCCCTGCCTGAAACTGTCACTGTCAACGGTGCAACCAAGCCCAATGTGGTGAAGAAAGGGTTCGTCGTCGGCAGTTGGCGGGGATATGCTCAATAACGGTATGGGAAAAGAAAAGTAAGGCGAAAATGACAGACCGATGATGTAATCGACAAAAAAAATGAGCCAAGGACCCTGACCCGGGAGTAGCTGAAACTGACGATGATTTGGGTGGTGATATCGAGATGCAATCATCACGAGAAACAAAGACACTTTTCATAAACAACAAGAATAGAGAGGGAAAGAGCACAGCATGGTCATCACATAGACTCTAATTACTTCCCCAATGATCTTCTATAGACCCTCAATTGATCATTCTACTCGCGCGTATTATACAAGACCCCTGCTTTTTCTACAGCCAAGCTCCTCTCCTGATCCGCTTCTTTTTGTCAACCCCGCCAAAATGCTACCTCCTAAACTCTCTCGCTAAAATTGTTAGTACACCTCTTATCACATCATGGCCATGGCATGGCCTCCTCGGCTTTGCCTCCGCCTAATACGGTCCTGATGCGCACATCGAGATCCTCCCTTTCTTCCCTTCTTCATCAAAACATCGACTCCCCCGCCCATGAGCGTCATCACGACGTCGCACACGCACACAATCCACGAATACATGTCTCGACCTCAAGTCCTCAATTTCTTTCCGATCTGGTCCTATTCGACTTCTCTTTGATCCGGTCATATTCCCCGTTTTCCGATCATGGCCACAACTCCTCCTCCCGCCGCGGCTACAACCCTCCGAGACTCGAGACAGCCGACTCCTACTTCTCCTGTCGCTCCTACGCCGACTACGGCTGTTCCTGTTCTTTTGACTTCTGCTTCTGAATCGAGCGATGATGGAATTCGTTTGAGTCCAGCGGCTGCTCGCCGCTTCGCCCGCCGCAACCTTCGCCGCACATCTCCAACTCCCGACCTCGTCACTAGTCTCGTTCGGCCGCCCTCGCCAGATACTTTTTATGTTGGTGCACAAGTCTCGCAGCAAGTCAGACAAGATGTCAGGGCCAGAATTGATCCTTCATATTCGGGTCTTTTGATACCCAATGTTAACTCGGATCGTCGAACCGGACCTCTGCTTCCTCCACACCCATCTTCTCTCGGAATTCCCAAACGTTATGGCGGAAACTGCATCTTCGATATGTATTCTTTGACATATGTCAACGAACCAGATGCTAATTTACTCTGTCCTATCTGCCATGACCCTCTGGTGGATCCGGTTACAACTCCCTGCGATCATACATTCTGCTATCGATGCTTGCGACAAAGCATTGACTCGAGTCCTTCCGGAACGGCCTGTCCCATTGACCGAGAGCCTTTGGCCTGGCCTAACTGCTTCAGCGCACCACGGCTCATCCGCACTCAGCTTAATAGTCTCAAAGTCAAGTGCCCTTACCATGCACGAGGCTGCAAATCAGAAGTTCGTCGGGAGGTAGTCGAAACACATGCTTCGACGGAATGCCGGTTCAAGGACTTCACCTGCCCCGGCGCTGATTGTGACAAGAGATTACGTTCCAAACCTGAAGATGATACTTGTCCCCACAAGGAGGATAAATGTTTACACTGCAAAGTGACAATCGAGGCTACTGATCGCGAACTGCATTTGTTATCATGTCCGAACAGCAAAACTCGCTGTGAGACATGCTGGAAGCTCGTATATCGCAGCCAGACCAAGGAACACGACGAATTAGAATGCGAAGGTGCTGTCATCAACTGTCCATATAGCGAGCTTGGTTGTCCAGCTCGTGCGATGCGCGGACAAATGGATGCTCATACTCTTGCTTGCGCATTCCACCCAGACACCCCGTCAGGCATGATAATTCGCTCACAGCGAGAAATCATCGATTCCTACACCAACCTCGGCCAACAAGTGCAGCAACTCCAAACTCGCCAGGACGAAACAAATCAACGCATCACAGAATTCAACTCGTCTCTCAGTCGCCGGGGTGTGGGCGACTCGGTAATGGGAGACAACCGCACAATCCAAGACCTCGACGCTGGTTTCGAAGAAGTTCACCAGAACCTAACACACCTCGAGGCACGGCAGAGTATGTGGACTATCAACCAAATCATGCCTATTCGCGAGGAGGTAACTGAACTGCGAAACAATATTAACATGATTCGAATGCATGTTAACTGGCTCCTGAACCGAAGCCGCGAAGAAGGCCGCATAAGAGCGGCCGCGAGCTCTGGATCCACGGCAACTTTGCAGAGGGACAGGTCGGTAGAAGGCCCTCGTCTCGCGGAACGCCGTCGGTCAGCTAGTGTCGAAGGAACAGATTTGCCCCGTCTGTGATTAGTGTTTGCTTCTTTTTCTACTCTTCTTTTTAATCTTTTATTGGCGTAATGGTTTATGGAATACCCCGGCATTTACACGTAGGCTTAGTCGGAAAAGGGCTATGATTCATTGAGCACCGGCGGTAGTCTTTTATCATAGATTTATTTTAATCAGACGACTCAGGTTTGATATCCATGTGTGTTTTCTGTGTTTGGATGCTTCTTGTGACACATTGCCTATTTTAGACATGACGCTGCGTCACTTAAAGATCTTGAAGGCCTGACGTCAGGGGTTTAGAACTTCATTCTTTTTCACATACATCGCTATTCATGAAAATGTTTGACGTTGACTAAGGAGGAGGCAGCCTGATCATAAGAGATGAAAGTTTGACAGCAAGATGCAATTTTCACGCAGACTGCCATAGGTTCACCATTTAATAACCCAAGAATAGCACATCATGATTTATTGGTTTTTGAGAAGCTCCTATAAAATATCAGATGCAAGTCTTAGATCTTCATCATGATACGGGAAATACATATGCTGTATCCTCGACTCTGTATCACCTCACCTTAGACATGACCATCAGTGCCTGGAAATAGCGAGCCACTTTATATTGCGGAGTTTAGAAGAGTGCTGCGGAGTTTGGGAGATGATTTGGCAGGCCAACATAAATCTTACGGCTCTAGTGGTATATTCTTTGTTCAACTGATTTCATCTATCCTTTGAAACAATACTATTACCAATACCTCAGTGACTATTTCTTCCAGGTCCTTCTACACGAGTAGGCAACCAAAGTTTCAGCGCCACAGCTCAGAAGCAGCCACTAAAGCCTCACCGCCCCACCTCGAACCTCAAAGTTCCTAGGCCCAGCTCTGCCTGGAATTCCCCCACCCTCAGGTCCCCAAGCTCATCATTATCAACTGTACTACGTCTTTGTGAGGCTTGGGTCCACACCTCATAGATCTCGTCCATCTCACTCTCAGCCTCGCCATCCCATCTGAACCTCTTTCTTTCAACATAATTCTCGTCTTTTTTCACTTCCTCCTCCTTTCTCATCCGCACTTTGACTCGTAATCGCTATAATGGACCCCAACGAGCAACCCTCATGGGCTGGAGGCGATGCCCCAGACAAGGAGAAGATGGAACAGGCAAGTTGCGCCAACAGAGCTCATGATGGGGACTTTATGCTAAGCTAGGACCTCAGATCCGTGCGAGACGTCTCGCCAAGCTAGGGACATCAACGCCTGTGTCTGCCAAGTCAGATGAGAACAAGGCTCCCGATTCCGAATCGTCGAACCCCTCGCGCACGTCAACGCCGAAGCCGCAGCCGCAGCCGCAGCCCGCATCCGCTGAATCACGGCCCAAGATCAACGTCACTCCCGCCGCTCCGCCGGCATCTTCCAGCCCGAACCCCTTCGACAAGCTAGGGGTGAAGGCGGAGCCGTCGAGTTCAACAGGTACTTCCTCTGTGAATCGTAAAAGACTGGCATCTGAGATTGACGACGTCGCTCCAGCGGATCGACCCTCCCCCAAGCCATCCACCACTCAACCCGAGTCCGACGAATCCTATGCCGACCGAACATTGTCACAGATCTTCCGCATCACTGTGGACCCGCATAACATGGTCAACAGCAGTGGCCAACGGCTGACATTCCTCCCGAACCTAAACGAAGAACTGAACGAGTCCGGGGAGCCTTTGAAGCTGTCCGTGAACACGCTAGATCAAGCGCTTATGGAGGCGGCCAGCAGCTATCCCCATGATAAGCCTCTCATGAACTACTTCTTGCCATGCTGGAAGCGTGCTGTGAAAGCCTCGCTCCAGTTCAAGGGAACAGAGGGTCCAAAGTTCGAGGTGCATGAAGAGGCCAAGCGTTTGTGTATGAGCGGCTGCTTGTTTGCCCTGACCATGCCGGATCTCTATGGGTAAGCAATTTCACCGCGTCGAAGATATAATCCTGACGCTTCATGTAGCCGATCACCGAACCCTAAGCATGATACACTCATGCCATACCTCTTGAAGGGCGTGCAGGACGAGAACGGCCTTTGCTTCAACTTCATACAGGAAGCTATCAAGCGATTCGATGACGACGAGGCCTTCCCTGCTTTGTTCAACGATGCCATGGTTCAAATCAGCAGCAAGCTGGGTACAATCTCTATGGACCAGGATTACAAGCCGTATATCCAGGCCATGTTGACGTACACCAGATTCCCTCCTCTAATCGTGAACCTCGCCAAACACCCAACCTTCACCATGGCTCAGTCAGCTGCTGGAATCGAAAAGCACACCCTCTTGGGTCCGTTCTTCCGCATCTCACCACTTCAGAATGAAGTCATCAAGAGCTATTTCCCTGGGGCTCGTGGTCTTGACAAGGGTAGAATCGCAAACTCACAAGACGCTTTGCGAATGGTGCTGAGGACACACCAAGATGATCTTTTCGCGATCACAAACGCCTTTATCCGCGCCGGCCAGGAGACCAGATCTCGAACCCTGGACTGGTTCGCCTACATCATGAACTCAAATCACAAGAGGAGGGCACTACAAGTTGACCCTAGAGAGGTTGCTTCCAACGGATTTATGATTAACGTGACCACGATTCTAGACCGATTTTGCGAACCCTTCATGGATATGGATTTCAGCAAAGTAAACAAGATTGATGACAACTATTTCCGAAAGCAACCACGGATAAATATCAGCGATGAGACAAAGCTGAACGCAGACCAGTCATACGCGGATTCTTTCTATGCGAACAAGATCCCTGGTGAAACCAACTTCATCTCGGAGGCTTTCTTCTTGACCCTAGCAGCGCATCACTATGGAAGTGAAGCCTGCAACTCCCAACTGAAGAATTTGGACAGGGATATAAAGTATCTGGAGAAGAGAGTCAAGATTATGGAGGCAGATCGTATCAAGTTCGTGAACAATCCTGTCCAACTTCAACAATATGACAAGGCTGTTCAGAGGCACGTCGATGCTCTCGAGAAGAGCATTGCTGTCAAGCTTTCCATCGAAGGTGTCCTGCTTGATGAACGGATGCAGAGCACTTCATTGCGTTTCATGCGCATTGTGGCTGTGTGGTTGCTTCGTTTGGTGACTCGATCAGAGTACAAGCCTGGTCAAGAGTCGAAGGAGATACAGTATGTGTCCTGGCGCGCAATATGGATGATGATACTGACAACTGTAGACTTCCCCTTCCTGCGGAGAAGTCAGATGTATTCTCATGTCTTCCAGAGTATACGCTACAGAATATCGTGGACAATTTTAAGTTCATATTTAGGTTCGTCCACCATGCTGACATTCGACAGAGGCCTCAACTAACAACTTAACAGGTGGCTACCTAAGATTCTCCCCAGCGCTGTTGGCGATGAAATGATTGCGCTTTGCGTAACATTTCTCCGCTCAACTGAGTACATCAAGAACCCGTACCTCAAGTCCTCATTGGTCTCACTGCTCTTCTCGGCGACTTGGCCATTGATGCATCTCAAGCGAGGTGTTCTGGGCGACCAGCTTGTTGGCAGCCAGTTTGCCAATGATCATCTTCTCAAGGGCTTGATGAAATTTTACATCGAGTGCGAGTCAACGGGCGCGGATTCTGCTTTCTATGACAAGTTCAACATTCGATACGAGATCTTCCAAGTGATCAAATGTGTTTGGGTCAACGACCACTACAAGCGACAATTGACACGGGAGAGTCGGTCAGTAACCCCCAAAGTCATTTTTTGAGATGTTGCTAACACCACTACAGAGTCAACAAGCAGTTCTTTGTTCAATTTGTCAACATGTTGTTGAACGATGCTACTTATGTCTTGGATGAAGCTTTAACCAAGTTCCCCAAGATTCGTGCTATTGAGAAGGAACTTGAAGATCCGTCAATACCACAAGAGGATCGCCAGAAGAAGGAGGAGGAGATGCAACAGCTGGCTAACCAGGCCACGTCTTTCATGCAGTTGGCCAACGAGACGCTTGAGATGATGAAGCTATTCACAGAGGCTATGAGTGAAGCCTTCACTATGCCCGAAATTGTGTCTCGTCTGGCAAGCATGCTCAACTACAACCTGGAGACGTTAGCAGGAAAGAAGGCGGCTGCCGAGCTCAGTGTCTCTAACAGAGACAAGTACCACTTCCGCCCTATCCAGATCATTTCAGACATTGTCGACATCTATCTCAACCTCGGCAACTCACCAGTCTTCATTGACGCCGTTGCTGCAGATGGTCGATCTTACAAGCCTGAAGTGCTGGAGCGCGTTTCACGCATTCTCATCTCCAAGCACCAGAAGGATCCTGCCGATGTTGCTCGCTGGGACAAGCTCAGGGTGAAGTTTGTCGACGCCAAGACACTCCTCGACCAAGCGGAACTCGACCTGGGTGACATCCCTGCCGAGTTTGAGGACCCCATCATGGGTGATCTCATGAAGGATCCTGTCTTGCTACCCAGTAAGCATATTGTTGACCGATCAACCATTGTCCAGCATCTCCTAAGCGATCCTAAGGATCCTTTCACAAGACAAGCCATGACTATCGATGATGCAATTCCACAAACGGAACTAAAGGAGAGGATTGAGCAGTGGCGAGAGGAGCGGGTGCAAGCTGCCAAGGACAAGTTGAAGAGCGATGTCATGGATACCACAGAGGGTTAAGCTCATGCAAGAGAATGGTTTTGAAAAAGGGGAATTATGTGATTAGACGTGTTCTGTTGTCTGTCGAAGATCGGGGATGGTGCATGTGTACTTCACTTCGCTCATGGCGTGAGCACGGAGAAATGGTCTGCTTAGAAGGGACGGTTTACATGAGATGACAGATCAGGTATGATGACAAACAGCGGTCCAGGAACTGCAGCGCATTTTTACATGATAAATATCTTGTTCGTCGGAAATATAGCGAGTTGCATTTCCAGTTAACCGTCCTATCTACATACACATAGGGGTATTTCCGCCGTACCCCTTCCGCTATCCCCAACGCCTTCTTGACTTTTGAATCACAGCTCACGCCTTCAAATCCTTGTACTCTTCCAACACTTGCTCCAGCTCTTTGAGAATCTCCTGCTTGCGCTCATCAGAGCACCAGCTTTCCTCAACGGCACCGCGGACGATCCATGCCCAGTCCTTAACGGAGAGGCTGAAGGTATCCTGGACGCGGCAGTAGACTTCCTGGACGTAGGCGCCAAAGTAAGCAGGATCGTCACTGTTGACACTGAAGAGGACGCCAGCATCGAGGAACTTGCGCACAGGGGCGTCGGCGAGTTCGGGTAGGTTGCAGAGAGCTACGTTTGACCAGGGGCAGAAAGTCAAGAGGGTGCGGTTGGCAGCCAGTCTTTTGAGGAGTTCGGGGTCCTGAGCGGCTGCGAGGCCGTGGTCGATGCGCGAAACCTTCAGATGCTCAAGTGAGGCAGTGATGAAAGAAGGAGGTGCTTCCTCGCCGGCGTGAGTGGTGAGATGAGTACCAGTCTTTGCAACACGGGCATAGACCTCGGTGAAGAGCTCAGGAGGGAACGCCTTCTCGCTCGAGACCATGCCAAAGCCTGTCAGGGTGCCATCGTTGAAGTGGCCGCGGTCCAGAAGAGTATCGACAAGAGCATGAGACTCGGGAACAGGCAGATGGCGAAGAATACAGACAATCAGCTCGACAGTAATACCCAACTCCTTCTGAGCACGACGCTTGGCGGCTGTAAGTCCCGCGACGACGGTGTCGTAGCTGACACCTCGAGCGGTGTGCGCCTGAGGATCGAAGAAGATCTCAGCATGTCGAACCTTTTCGCTCGCAGCGCGCTGGAAATACTGGTACGCAAGAGTCTCAAAGTCGTTTTCGGTGATAAGCACGCTCATCCCGAGGTAGTAGTAGTGCAGGAAATCATCGAGACATGTGAATCTTCCATAGCGCTCTCGCAACTTATCAGCCGACTCATAGACAGGATCTTCTGGCAATTTGATCCCGTTCTTCTCAGCGAGGGAGAAGAGAAGCTCAGGCTCAAGAGTTCCCTCAATATGGAGATGCTGCTCGACCTTTGGCAAAGCCTTGAGGAAGCTGTGGAACTGAGAATTGCACATATTGATCTTTGCCGATCAAGTTTATTTCGTCTTGGTGAGTTCTTGGGATTATCACTCGAGTCTTTCTTCTGTTTGTTCACCTTCACCAAAGAGACAGAGGCAATTAGACTGTGGAGAATTCGAATTATTCGCACCGATTGATCAAGTTTTCACAATGGAACTCGGTAGGCCCAGGCCCAGATTGATTAGCATCTCGTCCAATAAAAGCACGTAGAGTTGCGGGAGCTCCCGACCCCGTCAAAGTCATTCATTGTTTGTGGTTTCATTCATTGTGATCTCGGGAAGTATATCCAGCATAGGTAGATATATTAATTGTATGTGCGTAATCTGTGTCCGTAGACAAAGTAGTATTCCGCCGCTCAAATGGTCGTTATAGTATCTTGGTTGATCTCGACGTGTTGAGACAGGTATCTTGCTTGGCAAGCTTGGTAAGCGACTTGTCATAGTGGCATAGGTGGGAATGGGTTGAAATGAGTGCCGGAATCTATTGCCATATTGTTAATTGAAATTCCTTTCAAAGTCCACTGATCATCGCATCAAGTGCTATCCTCGGGTACTAGTCCCGGCCTAGTGGTCAATTAGCATCCTACGTCTTGTGCCTAGTCGTCTGTTGGGTTGGGCCATGGTGATTCACTTTTTTCTGCAGCTCCACGGCATGAGACTGCACAAGTCTCTCCACCTTAAGAGGCTTCTTCTCATTTCCTCCTCAGATGCCAGCCTCTTGAGTGTCTTGAGTCTTGACCGTCACTTGACTATCAACAGCGGCTTATCGTGCCACCCCTGAACCATCCATTTCCAGGAATAGGGACGCACTCCCGTTCCGACACCCGCGCCAAAAGCAAAGGAACCCTGTCCAGTAGAGCACAGTACACTACAACCTCAGGAACAGACAGGCTGGGATATCGATGACTTGCGGGTCCCAAATCCACATCTCAGCACTCTCAAACGCCAAGCAAAGTTTGAGAGACATTTCTCTCATATTGATTACTTCAAGTTTTTCCTGCCTCGCTCTGGGTTCCGTGTCAGGTATCGCCAAAATCTGCGCGGGCTTCTGTACCAGCTTAGTATTAGCGATGATGATGTAGTATTCTTCCGTCTCGATGCCAAGGCGTTTTGTGTCCTCCCGAGCATGGGCTCAAAGGATGTGGGTGTCAGGAGATTCGATTGACAGCAACTTACTGGCTAGAATTGCCGGCTTATCGTTCCCTACTGTAGGAGCCGTATGCGTGCACGCCGAGAAGGGAGGATGGTCCTCTGATCTTGACTCGCCTCAGCTTTCAGCTAGGTTGCTACCCTCGTAAGGACATGTAGCATCTTATCCGTCAAACACTGTAACGGTGCGAATCGGAACAGTTCCCATGATCACAATCGGATGTGCATGAGGATTCACGACATCTGTAGGGTGAGATGCGCTATCTACAGTAGCTTCTCGCTCTTCCCAACAGGCAATATGGCATTATGGATAATGAAACACGCTTCACGTTGGATTTTCGGATTCTCGGAAATATCAATTCCTAACAACAGAGGTGGGAAAGACCGGTTCCCCGACTTCTTAGGGACACTACTACATGGCTCAGTTTCAGACATTGCGGGGGGTTGGTTGGATCTGTGCCGCCATGATGAGATGTAGGGACCCAAACGCGTGCCATTGATGAGTTTCTTCCGGCAGGCAGGTCCGGAATGTCATCCAACTCGACCTTTGCTGTCGAGAATGGACGGCCCAGTCGTGTTTCTGATCTGAAGAGGATATAAGTCTCCGTGTGATTTCCCTCCAATAGAATCCACACAATCTCGAACGCCTCTTGGATACATTATCTGTCAGAGAGTCGTGTGTTTAATATTACTAAGAGTTAGGATTGATAACTCTTGCTCGTTGAAAGCGATATGACGAGAAATCGACCAGAGCTGTCTCATACCATATACCTGCTTGAGGACTAGTCGCAATGTTGGTGGCGCCATTCCGTTCGGTAGCTTATATAACTGGCAGATGGCATCGGAACACAGGTGTCCCGTTAACTAGTTATACTAGTGTGCATTATTATCGTGCCTGCCTGACAGACGCTTCGTCGATTGAGAACACAGACCAACAGAGTTGAGGGTCCAGTCGCAAGTCCCAAGCCGACTTCAACTCGGTCCAGTAGACAAAGACAGGCGTTTCGGGCCGTGTACAACGCTATAGATCTGCCTGTCTGGGACGTTCATTTGTCCGTGGCATAACTCAACCGATGGAGCTGGCAGGCTGGTCCTAGAAACTAGGCCATGTGGAACAGGGTACGTAAGCTCCAGGAGTCATGAGGGACGAGGATGTTGAATTGAGAATAAGCCTGCTTGGTCTGTTCGCCGAACGAGTGGAGAGCAGGAGCAGAACATCCCAGTCAAGGACGGCTAGAATGTCTCAAGAACCGATTAGCAACCAAACATCGGGCGGAGGAGCCACATGCTAATTGGACCAAGCTTTGCCGGCACTTTGACCAGGTAAATGGATCAGATAGCTAGTCGAGTGGCTAGAGGGGATATTGTACGGAGATTTGTTCAGAATAAGGTGAAGAATGCGGACTGCCATCTTCTTCAACGATTCATGTCAAATACTCAAAGTCTTGTGCTAGTCCCAGCTTGTGGCGGCTCTATGATTTAGCGGTGCTTGAAATTGCGACTGTTGTGCCACAAAGCTGCCTGCATACTTATCAGTGAGGAAGTATCCAATGGAGCTGAGGGAGAAAAGGCTTGACCTTGATGCTTATCCAACTGTCATAATCTTTCTCCGCGATCCGTACGGTAAAACCACGTGGATTGACGTGGTTCTGAACACCAAATTCGCGTATCCAACCAGGCGATTACCGTATGCCTGGTCCGAAAACCAGGTTGCTGGAGAATATGAAGCCCATCCAAACCCATGGCGGTATATAGTGAGATGTGGGTCTCGATCAGCCCCAACGAAACCAATTGAAGAGTGAGGTGCAACAGATCCGTCTTATATCATTGGTCATTCTGGTCAACCTGACATGTAAACGTTTCTGTGGCTTGAGCGGATCGTCTTGAATAGGAAGGATGAACCGCTGAAGAGTGACAGAAAGTATCTCAAGAATACATATCTAATTGCGATATGTTGATCAATCATGCGCACACCGGCTGCCTATCGATGTCTTTGAGTCAGTCGAAATGTCAAAGGCTATAAAGGCTGTCAGGAAGAAGAATGATCAACAAGTGCGGATGTATGCAGCCGGTGGCGGTGATTCGAGCTGCCACATTCCATCGCTCACGAATTTAGCCAGTTGCTCACAAACCCCTGGAGCCAATTCGTAGTTGAGTTTCATTGCACGGTTCTTGGAGGCTCGTTCCGTCATCCAAGAGGATGGAAGGACGCACCGATGGGCCAATCTTCAACTGCTGACTGTCAAATTCGAGGAAATCTGAGGCACTCGGAGGCCTTTGATTGTTGAAAATCCTGCCGAGTCTGTGTGATACTCGAAGCGAGTTGGATGCTGTCCTATCCGTGTCAGGGACTGACTTTGATACTCAGAAGCGCGATTCATTCCCGGATGACAAGGCCCATAAACGAAGGACGGGCCGATGAAACAAAGGCTTGACCATTAAATCCGTGCCAGCGGGCATGTTTGATCGCCAGATCCGTCTCTTCTCAGGTGGCTGTTGAAAATGCAAGGTTCTTGGCCGGATGAAGGAGCTTAGACCGAAGGGAATAGGCGAGTCGTTTGAAGAAGTGGTATTGAAGTCCGTCGGAGAATACGAGGAAAGATAGGAAATGGGAAAGTTAGATCTGGTAGTGGAATTGATGAATCAACACATGGAGCAGGGGAGGTTTTCTTCGTCGACATGGAAATTTGAGCATGGGAATAGGGTAAGTTATACAGACAGGTAAATGTTTCGTGATAAGGCCCTTCCTGCCCATGAGGTTAAATTAGCTGGTTTGCTCACATGGAGATGTACCACTCCAGAGGCAGGAGTTAATCTTTAACTTTATCTACTATAGGCAGGTACTAAATTCCCGACCGATCGAAGAAGGAACCATCTCAGAGACAGTGGGTTGAGCGAGAATCGTTCTTTCCCTGAATTAACCAAACCCAAGCCCAAGGAAAGTCGCTAACTACTTCGCATCGGATACTGTATGAACAGAGAAACACGGCAGGTGCTGCACGGTGAGACCCCTGTAGCAAGGCAACCTTAACTTTACCTTCCCTGTCTACAGCGTAAACCTGAGGCTCGCCTAAGTTGTATCGCGGCATGCATTCCCCCCGCCAACAACGTTATTTTCATATTCTTCTCAACTCCTATTTGCGAATTCAAAAAAGATACTTCCGCTTCCGCTTCAGCTTCAGCTGCATCTACAGCCTGCATCGCTCGCTCGCTCTCTCGCGCGCATGCGAGTGCCCGAATACCGTATCAATAACACGGTGCCATAGCTCACACTAAAACCGTCTCCGAGATCGTGGTCCCTGCTGCAAGACGATAGTATGTATGTACATATGGCACCCCTTCTACGGTAGTCAGCATCCGAAACCACAACTCGAATCTCAGCCCACACGGCCCCCGCCCCCTCGATCTTGACAAGGGCATACGCCAAAGGTTAGCAGCGAATGAGGAGCTCGCCTTCATCAACCCAATTCGCGATCCGATGCTCTGCCAAGTATTCGTAGCGCAGCGTTTGCTGTTATGCCAAACTACGTACGGATACACAGAGACCTTGGGGGCCGTGACCAAACACGACTCGATACATACAAGGCACCGAGCAGAGTATACCGGTTCGGCCCCGCTGCCTCCGCTGGCGGACCATCTGTTTCCACTTCAATCGGCCGTTGGCAGACGCCGCAACGGATTGCTTTTAGTCTAAGGCGCGTGCCAACTCCCCAAAGCGAAGCGCCCCTGCCGCCACTAAATATGAATCAGTTGTCTGTGGTCCATGTCCATGTCGCCGGTTCTCTGAATTGTAGGGATTGACTTGCATACGGATCAGACTTGGCTGGACAACTAACTCATCTCGTCCCAACTCTATCCTGGCATCGAAGCACTGCCTCTGCCCTTCTGGAATTTTAGAATACGTATGGATGTACCAGCATACGAGGCGGGCCCGCATCTCTCCCACTTCACTTGGTCATGGACGTGGGCTTGATAGGATGTCTAAAGAAAGCAAGCCACTCAAATCTCCAACGCCGGTTGCTCGCCGACCTGTGCTTTCTTACAGTATGCCCCTGCCTTCTGTTACATACAAGGCGGGTCATGGCCTGGGCAGCACTGTATGTATTGATGATTGTACAGTCCCATGCGGAGTGCGAAATCTTTGAACTCTTCATGGCCCTGGACGTTGTCATATATGCATTCCCTACCGAGGGTCTTGGTGTCCTAGCTGGTTGATATGCTTGTATGGTACAGTTTATTTTAACCTTCATTCCTCACGCTGACCAGATATCGAGATCCTGCCCTTCCATATAGGGCCCGGGCGAGCCACCCGTCCAACCCTTCCCTTCCCGGCGGTTCACTCGGCTCTAGCCCGAATCCCCACTGCGACCCTGACTGGGGATTCGTCATCCGCCTCCCACCCACGGCGGCGGATATAACCGTCCCATTGGCGAACACCTGGACAAGGTGGCACCTTCGGAAACCATCATGACCGAACCCATGCCCTCCGGCAGGCTGTGTGCCCAACGGCAGCTTGCAGCCCTCTAAGTCGACCAGCAAACGATTCCAGTCCACCAGCTCGGCGCAAGGCCTCGAATGGGCCAAGGGCCATTGTAATCGACATGTTCGGACTGCACACAAACGCGAGAGCGACTATTCTAGTTCCCGTCTACATCACCATTCTATCCCTGGCCTCAAACTGTCTATCGGCTGCTGACGCCACATATCTGGCATGACAACCATGAATCAGGAGTTAGTGAGCCTTGCAGTCCAGTACTGGTTGAGCTCCATAGCTCCACTAGTCAAGCAGTCAGATAGTAGCCAGATACCGCTGAACCATGCCAGGCCGCACAGACGTGTGTTTCAGTTCTGAGACTACACCCTGATGTGTGCAATCGCCTGCAAACATGTCACTATCACGTTAGTAATTCGGTTTGATCGATATATACGAGCTACGGTTCTGTTGCATATTATCGCAAGGTGTTATGTCCGGGGAGTCTGGGAATAGATCTGGTTTATTATAGTGGCATTTCGTACATTAAAATCAAGTCAACATTTCTGAGACTGGAGGTTGAGATTCGGCGAATTTTCTGGGCCTCATCTGCAAATGCCTGACCGACCTTACTACAACAAGGCACGCCGATCTAGGCGCGGGGGTAGCACATGGCATCGCGGATAACACAAGGCAAAGATGACCGAATATCGACCGGCTTGTTTGTGCATAACATCTCCGGAAGTACCAAGCTTTTCTCAGCAGACCAGCGCCGAGAAAAGCTTGGTCCAGACGGGCATATCGGTCAGCACAGCGCCGGGAAATGGCTCACTCAGTCGTTGGTCACTGAACTTATAGTGCGCTTACTGAACCAACGAAGCTTTGAGGGCATATACTCTATAGTCATCCTCGTGCCATGCATAGCGGAGAGCAATTGGCGCACAGGGTCTTCTTGTTGATTATCAAGTCCAAGATCTCACTACGGACCCGAGTTCTGACATCCGAGGGTGGCATTGGCTTGGAACAAGCACTTGTCTTGTTGGATCGATGGATATACTGCTAGGATCCGGGATTATGACTAGCAACATATTCCAGGATGCCCGTCTCCGCTCGAAACACATTAGCGGCCATGGCTGATCTCTCAACAGCCCTGCTCAGCCAACTCGTCAAGGGTCTGGCCACCCCTCCCCCCAATTTACCATCGCCTGGCCCAGATAATATTTCCGAATCTGCGTTAACGCGCGGAGAGCCCCGGATCACGGACCAGCGCCACTAACACGGTGCTGCTCCTGCTGCTATTGTGCCCGCCCAGGTAGCTAGTGACGAGCAGCGATATACCTGCCTGCAGGCGCCTCTTCTTCCATACGGTACATTTCCTCTTTCTCTCAGCCTAGTCGCCGTGAGCCAAACCTAACGACGTCAGCTCCGGCCTCGTGGCCTCGCCTTTTCTTTTCTTCTTCGCAGGCCCTTCCAGAACAACAGATTGTCCCGGGTCTCTAAGGCTGCGACTTCAACACACAGCCGACGCTCTTCTTGAAGTCACTCGTTCTAACTCGGCCAGTACTCCGAGCCGCAGATACTCTCGCCTACCACTGGAACTTTGGACCCCAAATAGACATTCTAAGTCTAGAAGGAGTGCTGTCAGGTACAACGGTAACGGCCTAGAGCTTTGCTTAGCCGTTCCTGGTCCAAGCATTGTAGTTTGGGAAACCCGCAATCTATTCCTAGTGTTAAACAAGGTGATGAGCCGAATAACTACTTCGGAGCAAAAAGGTCTCGGGTTACGCAGCTTCGCAACACTCAAGATATCCATTTCGCAGAGACGAATTCACACTGTTGATTGCGGACTAGGACACTGGCGGCAAAGATTGAAGGCTCCGTTGCAGGGTTAATTGACAAACAAACGGCATATCCTAGCTTCTTCTTTCCGGGCAAAGCGAGAAACGGGAGTTTGCCCACTTTGTACTTGACGACCTGCAGCTTTCGTTCAACAGAGTTACCTTTATGCTCGTTGACCGACGCCCCCCTAACGTTCATCCCGTTGGGGGACCTTTTGAGGCTTCCTCGACAAATCCTAGTAGAGGCTGGGCACCGAGAGGGCACCCAGCTATGTCAACACCACAGAACGTTTATGCTCGCTCGCCCAATCTCTCAAACAGATCCTACGACTCGTCTTCAGTCTCATCTGCAACTTCCCCCAAATCTTTGTCCCAGTTTGCGCCAGGGGCCATGAGTACCAACCCACGCTTGAATGTTCCGGCAACGCCCCAACCTATTGGCATCCCCCCTTTACCTCCAGTCAGTCAGGGCTTTCAATCGTACGGCCCAATGACCACATCATCTTCTCTTGGTCACGATTCACTCGCTTCGAATGAATCTGTAGCCAGTACTCCGGGACCATCATCCGCCCACTTAACAGGACCAGGTGTTCAGGGACAGAAGAGAGCATACCGACAGCGAAGGAAGGACCCCAGTTGTGATGCTTGTCGAGAAAGAAAGGTGAAATGTGACGCAACCGAGACGACAAGTTGCTCGGAGTGCTCGAGTCGAAATGTCAAATGTCAATTCACCAAGGAGACGAACCGGCGTATGTCGTCTATCAAACAGGTGCAGGACTTGGAGAAGCAAATGGAACGAGTGAAAAGGGAGAACAGTGGATTGCGTCGCATGCTTCAGGATCGAGAAGGGCCCATGGACCTCGATGCTGAAGGAGGTGATGAGAACAGCTCTAGCTTACCAGCCATTGGATCCGAACCGAAGCGACGAAAGAGACCGGCACCAGTTCCAGAGCTAGCGAGAGCGAGGGCCAATGTACGCGATTTCTCGAGAGGTATCTGGAAACTCCCGGCCCAGTATCGTGAACGAGCCCCTATATTCTTCGACCCCCCCAGACCAGAGCTACCTGCTAGGCACGTGGTAGACCAACTGCTGCACGCCTATTGCAACTCGTCCCACTCCATGTTTCCGATCATACACATGCCATCGTTCCGATCTACTATCAACGACCTCTACAACAGCAATGCGCCCAACAGAATGTCCCCAGCTTGGCTTTCTATGTTCTTCGCGGTCCTGGCAACTGGCAGTCTCTTCAGTCCAATGTCAAGCTCCCAGCCAAACTCCTTTTACGAACCTGCCGAATATCTTGAGATGGCCAACAAGATGATTGACCCATGGGCTAACGACTTTACTCTGGAACATGCCCGGGCACTAACATTAGTAACTCTCTGCCTGAACGAGATGAACCTAAAGTCAGCGGCCTGGGGGTGGCTGGGTAGGGCTGTCCGTGTTTCCCAAGATCTCGGCATGCATGTTGAATCGGGGCCATGGCCAGTGATTGAAGGAGAGATGCGACGCAGGACCTGGTGGATGATATACATACTGGACAGGACCTTGGCTACTGAGCTGAGCCGACCCGTTATGATCGACGACGACGACTGCGACGTGTCATTGCCAGCCGGGGTTGACGATCAATTTATCCACGAAGGAGGCATGTTGGTACCTACGGGAGCGGAACCTTTGACTCACTCTCTGCTCGCCGTTATCCATGTTGTACGGTCGTATTCGTCGCTTCTTACAGCACTGACACCCCAGTCGATGTCATTAGTTCACCTTTCAACCCTGGACACCCATCTGAAGAAATGCCTGAACACCTTTCCGCCAGCATGCGAACCTTCGAGCAGCGTGCCCCTTGCACCTGGCTTTCTTGCTCCGTTGGCATACCTATTCCACGCTCGTCTTCTCCTACATCGGCATCATCTCGATCCTGGGTACCCCCTCGAGGCTCGGATGGCTTCTCTTGAAAGCTGCACTCACATTGCTCTCGAAACCGTATCTCTACTCCATCGATTAAACGGAAGCCTCTTGGCCGACAGTGCAACTACCTTGTTGACCACGCACATATTTCGCTGTGCCCTATTTCTTCTCCTTACAGGCTACATAGACCCTGCAGTGACGGCTGTGAGAGCACTGGCTTCCATCGATCGACAAAGGGATATCACAATCGCATGCGGTCGTTACCTGTCGTTCTTTGTATCCGCCTTGGCAGCCAAGAGAGTTGAATGTACAAACTACCTAACAAGGAGTGCCCCGCCGCACTTTGGTTCTTCAAGGCCATCGATAGACCAAGCAGCTCTTCTACAGATGCTGTCACGCGACGAGGATTTGATTGTATACGTTTCCGCCGATCTTCAGGCATCAACTGATGCCTCGTGGCTTTGGGCAGGCCTAGAGCGAGAAGTCCATTTACACCAGTCCCCGTCGCCGTTTCAGCATCCCACATCGGCCACCAGAAACGAGTTATTTAGCCCTGAGGCTCGTACGGGATTGGACGAAGTCGACAACAAAGAATGGGGTGGATGGGCAAGGCTCGAGACGGCCATTCGTGGACTGGATGGTGTTCCAGCCACGACTCCGACCCCCTCGAGTGCAACTTGGACGCTACCTCCGCCCATCAAGAGCGAGACGCCTGGCCCAGCGGTGGAACTCCCAAGGCTAGGCGATGTATCGCGTTTTGGGTCCGAGATACCTAAGTTGGGCGAGGGAAGTACAACGGTGAGCCCTGTGGCAGGGGGCAGCAGGACACCGAGTGGAAGCGCAACCGCCCCAACTACCAGCAAAGAGCGGTTGAGTATCGCCAATATTATATAAAGAATTTGGCGGGGAATTATGAAAGCGATTTTTAATGTTTATTCTATGAGCCTTGTCTTCCTTGTCTAGTGCTGGAAGCTGGCTCACCTGCAAAAGTTGAAGGAACAAGGCGCATATAAATAGCCTGGTTTTGGTGCATTCTGTTTTGACATGGCGTCCTGATATTTAATTGCGTATAGCTGCTTCCAGGCAGTGCAGTATAGTACAGTACTGCCTGGGAGGAATCTGTACGAAGATACCACGCGCTGCATGAGATGAGTATAGGATTTTGCATAGCACAGAGGCGCACCCGGCGTTGTTGGGACATGACCCATAGAGCTGTATACTTTCTGCAACGGTTATAATGGATACACGAATTTACCGTTTGTGTAGTAGCACAAGACGTGCGAGACAAGTTTCAGCTTGAATATCCCATCAAAACCGTTTCATTTATATTCCGGTACCAATTTGAAGAGAAAAGTGCGTGAACATCGTTGTGAATCAAGAATATGTCGGAACTCAGCTAGGCGCCCCTTTGCTCAAGTCCAACTTGACAACTCTCTCACGCAGCATATCTCGCATATCGCCATTATCATCCATATACTCGGTCATGTCAAGGGCCTTCATAGCCCATTGCTGACATAGATCCTCATCACCTCTCGCCAAGATATCAATCGCATGATTAAATGTTGTTGCGATGATCCAGTCCAAGTCCTCTGCAGGGAAAGGCTTCTGCATCTGTGATAAATGTTAGCCCTCCCTAAAAATGAACCCCACCAAGAATCTATAGTAATGGGAACCACTTACTTGGCTTCCTTCGCGTGCTATTTGGGCTGCTTGTTCCACCACCTGGAAAGCAAGGTTGTCGTCCAGGGGTAGAATAGCTTGGAACATGCATCGCATGTACTTTGCGAGTTGCTGATTGTCAAATTGCTCCAGTGAGAATATCTCATTGATTATAAGCCGCATGGTTCCATATACGACTACTGGAATTAGTTTTCCATGTGCGCTACTAGAAACCAGTCAATACATACCGTTTCCTGAAGCTTCACTCCTTAACAAGCAGTCTCCCATTGCCTTATACATCATCTCATCTTTGCAAATCCGAGCCTTCCTAATGATATGTCTAAGATCGTCCCAACTCTTCAAGCACACGGCACTCTCAAAGTCAAAGACAAAAAGCGTTGACAGCTTGGCCAGGAGGTCGGGATATACCTGAGACTTGGAATCGTTTCGAAAATGAGCGTCAAAAAGGGTGTCGAATTCTGAAATGTGCCGTCTTGTTTCAAGGTACTGCTGCAGCTGTTCATCTACCTTGTCCCCAGTACGAGCCTGGGAGATAAGTGCCGCTGCGACGACAAAGTGACAACGGACGGACATAAGTCGTAGATCAGTATCATCCTCCGAAGGAAGATCGGATGGGTAACAATCCACAAATGCGAGACACGCACGGAAAATGCGGATTAGATACCACAGCCCCCAGACATGACACTTTGTCACACCGATGTTGTATGCGTTCTTTCGAAACCAGTGCAGCTCCGATACTGTGAAGACTCTGCAACCTTGCTCATCCTTTGGTTCCAATTTGGCGTGCTCACCAGCTGTGCGTGTTAGAAGACAATCAACCTTTTTGAGAGAGAGCTTACCCCTTTCGAAAATTCGGCAAGTTTCTTCTGCAAGTTCAGGACTTCGGTCTCCTTCGCTACCCTCTTGCGACTCAAGCGAGTGTATAAGCCTGATCGTACACCTTAGAATCGATGGCAGATTGATAGTCAAAGAGCCTTCAGCATCAAAGGTTTCGGCCACCGCCTTCAAAGCTTCCAAGGTCATCAGCTTATCGCCGACGTGCTGTGCATCTCTTGTACATGCGTATAGTATATCTCGACACTGAGATTTCTCGGCAAATTTGCCCAGGAATTCGACACATTGACGACCCAAGTCATGGTCCCAGGTCAGAAGAGAAACCCTGAACATGAGGTATCTGGTGAGCGGCTCATCCTGGATGCTTCTAGGCATTGAGTGAAATGCAGAAAGTGCAGCTTCTGAATCACTACAAGAAGTAGCGCACAGCACCAGCCTCCTGCTGAACTTGCCCTGACATGCCTCGCCACTATTCGCAAAGATAGAGTGGAGCGCAGCCTGGCACCAAAGCTGGGATTCTTTGTACTGCTTTTTGGAATAACTAGTATCGAGTTTCTTCCAAATGAGCTTCTCTTGTCAGTTACGTGCATGAAAGAGTCTTGAAGTAGTTAGACTGACAGAAAGTGCAGCAGTTGAGGCCTCAACATCACACTGACCAGCTTCTTGAACGAGTTGATCCAGGGTCTGGATTAAATCTGCTACGCTCACAGACGCATCTGCTTCCATCGTGCCAATCCAAACTCGCCGGACAATGGCTTTGCCTATCCAATCCATGTTACGGGAAGGCATAAGTTTCCTGAGTAATAACTCATCCATGAGACCTATCGCCAAACGTGGACCTCTCATTCGCAGTTCGCTGATACCATGTAGAAGAAAGTCGAGCCCAGCGTCCGACAGATCTAGCGACCGTATCATACGACGCAGTATACTCGCGCATGCATCGGCATTGAAGAATTCGCTTGGAGATCGTTGAAGAATCTCGAGTCTCCAATGTAGAACCACTGGCTTGTCCCCGATCTCTGATTCAACATGCGACACTAGATTCTCAGCTTCTTGTAGCCCATCTTGCGACCCTGTGGCGAGCTATGCCTGTATGAGTTCGTGATGGATGGATATTCGAAGTTCCAGCCCTTCTGTTGAAAGTCTTTCCAGCGCTTGGTCATTTATGAGGTCAAGTGCTCGCCGGAGCCACTTCAAAGCCATTTCATTATCGCCCTTCGACAAGAGGTCGCCCCCAATTCCGTGAAACGTGTCAGCCAAATGTTCAGCAGAAGATGGATCGAGATCGTGTAAGAGGTCACCTGCTTTGGCGTACATGTGCTCCGCAACGTCGAGACGGCCCTGTTTCCACGACTTGACCGGTCAGCAAGTCGTCAGAGATGCTGTTTCTCGACTCACCAAAGCACATCGCATGGTCAAATACTCAGCCTCGATCTTTTGCACCTGCACCCTATCTTCAGTGGTCAGGTTGTCGATCTTCTTTAGTCGGTCGATGTAATCCGCAGCTTTGGCCATACTCAGAAGCGCTCCGTCCAGGTCCGATGATTCGACACAAACTCGCGCTAACGTGAGTGACAAGCCCATCACGTATATAATTTCTTCCAAATTATCCCTTCTTTTACCACGTCGATACTCCCGTGCGAGAGCATGGGCAAGGAAGGCCAGAACCCGAGTACGAACCAGCAGTTGAGTCCTGGAAGCGGACTGCAGGAGGTTGTCCCTCTTTCTCCTTTCTTTGATACATTCGTTCCATAGCTTCCTCCCGATATCCTTTAGATTCCTGGAGACCTCTAACGGAGGAGCAATGCGGTTCTCCGCAAGAACATTGGCTGTGGTTATGTGATGGTTCAGGTCGGAAAGGAGAACATCGGTCGAGCTCGAGTCACATGAGGTGGGCAACTTGGAAAAGAGATCTGTGGCGAATTCTATCCCGATACTGCGAGTCAGTAAGATCTGTCACATCCATTCGCTGTTCAATCCTTGCCTATGATTTCCTCGAGCTTTTTGGTGTGGTTAATAGTTGATACTTCAGCTGACGCCATGACAGATGTGAAAAAGGGGAAAGCAGCCGCCTTATATGAGAAGCGGTGTATTTGGAGAATAACGCGATCATCAAGTATATGAACAGAAAGAATAAGGCAAAGAATACCTTGACCCATAAGATCCTCCTGCATTTACAACCGAGTCATGTGAGCCTGCTGCGGAACGTTTGTGAGCAGGAGCGATGACAGTGCTCCTTCCAACTGTCCAAAGCCGAAAATCGGATTCCAAAGGTCATGAAACCAAGGACACGGAAGAAAATCATCACCAAGGACTTCTCAAAAGCAAAATAATATTCAAACTGTTGTCTCCTGTCTAACGTAATGCAAATGAATACATACGCTCCGAATCCTTGTATCCAAGCGCCGTTCCCAATTCCGACTATTTTCTTTTTCTTACTAATGTTTGAGGCCTCACAGCACTCATTTGCAAGTGTGGCAACTAATGCTGTGCTTCTTCTTACGAAGCATCATATATTTACAGCATATACATACATCAATACACCCATGGTTATTGTGCTGGTGGGTCATGCGGCAAGAAATTACCAACAATTAGAGCTGGCCTATTCGAATCAGTCAGTATAGGGAGGCAGACGGAGCCCGAGTGACTAATACGTACAGTTTGTGCTCATCTCTTCTGATCATGAACGAGAAACAACATTTCACAACTGGATGCGTTGACCCAGGGGTTGGATTCTTCAGGGAGCAGGCCGTCAAGAGGGTCTCATGCGCTGGATCGAAGGCAATCGTGCCAAACTCTTCCCAGTATCGCACCATTGATTCTTCTGTGAGGATTTCGTGCAACGCGATTTTGCCCTAGAGTAAGCGAACGTTAGCAATCCATTTGCCGAACCCCCTGTGCTTTGGTTGGCACCAAACTATTGTTACGAGGAGGTGTAGGCCAAGCAAGACTTACATCTCTGAGCTGAGCTACTGACACGCCAATCAACTCTGCCATCTCCTTGTTGCCCCTGAAGATTTCACCGGTTCTTCGCCAGCAGCACGCGGGCACTGCCATACTTGCAAACACCCGGTCATAGTCCATGAGCTGTTTCTCAAACCACATCTCAACGTACACAAGTTCTATATCCGTCAAAGCATGTGCCTTTTCTCGAAAAGCGGGCCGGAACCGGGCGATGGTCCTCAGAATCTTTTCTCTTGACGCTGTTGTGATGTGTGAATTGAGATATGCACCCAAGCGAGAATAACCGTTGATGTAATTGAACGGCTTTAGAAGCCCAGCGTCGTACTTGGCCTTGAGCACACGCGCCATTCGCTCCTCTGGCGTGTCGTTGCCTGATGGGTCGGCAGCTTGTAGATAGTATTCGCGAGCCTTGTCGGCGGGCACAACGCTTCCCGGTCGTAGAATGTTCTTACCCTCAACATTCGGAGGGGGTGGCAGCATTGATCCCTCTGTCATGTTTGACATGGTGTTTGAACCACCAGCTCCCATAGAGGTGTTGGCGTTATTTCCAAACCTGGGTAGCATCTCCGACTGGCTCTGGCTCGACCGCTTGAATGCCGGGCTCTGTTGTTCCTCTGGCGGCACACTACCGTCATCGAGTAGACTCGTATGGAGGAAATCGTTGAGAAGATTGAACTCGTGAGTGACTTCTGAGGCAATCATGTAGTTGGGGTGATAGCTGTGCATATCATGAAAATGGTTCTGGGCTGTCATCCACGCATCTTGGAAACCCGCAACTAGTGGCGTGTCAGCGATCTCAGATCAGGAACAGATTTCTGGGCAGCCCCAACCTCAGCCCACCCGTCTCCGCTCGTGATTAAAAATTGAAACAAGGGACAGGCCCCTCTCAGGGCAGGAGAAAGGGACACAAAACGTACATTGATTCGCGTTACTGTTGCCGTTGTTCAACGCATTGCCCTGCAGGCCCGAGACCTGGCCGGGTTGCACAATGGACAGTGGGCTTCCTTGACCCAGCACTCCCCCAAAAGATTTGGAACCTCGCTGCCTCGTCGTGTCAAACGTTGGGGGAGGTGGGCCCATGGTACTAGAAATCGAGCTACGAGCCATATCGGACTGTGCGTCCGATTCATCAACTACAGAGGGTGCCTGTATGCTCTGGGTGCTCTGAACACTCTTTGCCTTCTTGGAATCGGCATCGCGAGGTTCATCGTGACAGAGATGCCCAATATTCCGTTTAATGCATCTGGTACATGGTCTCTCCTATTCATGGCGTCAGTGACTTGGTTTTGATGGTGTAGAAAGTAAGCCCCTCCCCTGAATAGCTGAACACAACAGCTGCAGCTCAGGTGTCCCAGCATGTTATCAAGACAAGAAGCAGGGGTCGCCTAGGATCGTACTTACAAGATCGCAAGTCATATGCTGGACGCAGGTAGAAAACAGATTGTCAGCTACAGTTCTCTCAAAGCTCACATATGCAAAGTGAAGGGTAAACTAGACGAGATTTGTCTCATAGGCGCCATGTCCGTCGCACAATACTTCCAGCTCAACAAATGACCTGGCTGCTAAGCACGGCTAAAGCTGCTCGAGGTCCAGACAGAACCAATGCGAACGCGCGTCGTTGAACTTGGGGTTAACTTACAGATCGTCGACAATATACGCAAGCTGTAATGAAGCGCCCCAGCGATGTCAGCCCAATGTTTTTCTTGGTTAAGGTAGATAGATGCATGCGCCATGTTGAACCTTGCCCCTGGAATTGGAGTTGATGAGTCGATGGCTTAGCTAGTTGATTGGTCATGATTCAAGAGTCTTTCGATCGCAACTATATCCAGTATCATGACCTTCACTCCCAACCCCAACGCGAACTCCCAGGAGCACATTGCGCAACACCACATCTGGAGCCTGTGCAAGGGAAGATAGTGTCAATACTTAGGAAGACGTACCGTGGTTGACTTTACGTCTCTTTTTCGTAGGGGCCTTATGATTGCCAGAAGCAGTGGCATTCGAGTTCTTGTCGCGATTCACAGCCTTGCCATCGTCGCCTTTGGCAGGCTCCTGCTTAGCGCTCTTGCCCATGGTAGCGGCATTCCGGTCGGTCATTTTGTCTTATGCTCCCATTGGATCTCGAGGTTACGCAAGGCGGCGTCAGGTTCGCAGATCATTTGCGGCTCGCTGCAGCAATCTTGTATGGGTCTACAGCTCAGCCGAAGCGACACGATCCATTCGCACGTTGTCGGCGGCTAGTTGTTGCGATTGCGATTGCTATTTCTGCAGTTCCTGTGCGCGGGTGTCGGTTTGTCGACTGTAGTTTTTCTCTGGGAGAGTCGCGCGCGCGTGAATTGGTCCCGTGGACGGGGAGGGGAGGAGGAAAGTGGCTGCGCAGGTGGTGTGAGCCGAAACGGTCGAAAGGACGAGGTTTTGAAGGGCACGAGTGAGTGCAACGAGATGCAAAAGATGAATTGATAGCTCAGCAGCCGAGGCTGGCCCGTGAGAGGTAAAACAATGGACACCAGAAGCTTGTAGCCGTCCAAGTTGAAAGAGAAGGCAAAAAGACTTACGAGGACCTGGACGGTGAAGTTTGAGCCAGGCTTAGGCTTAGGCTTAGGCTTAGGCCTGGGGCCGAAATAGGCTGGTCTTGGTTGACCACCTAACGAGCGAAGTGGGCCTTGGATCAGCCAGTTTACGTTGAATATCGTCGTGAAGAGCGTGAAAGAGGATCAATAGTTATTAAAAGTGATCCGCATTGACATGGGCTTGGTTAAGGTACTGTTAGTCAAGAATTGTAAATGAGAGAATGAGATTTCTCCTCATTTCAAGGACAGAAGAAACAGGCCAGAGCTAAAAGTCAACTGCACCTCCCTCACCCAGGCAGGGCTACCAGCGGGAAGGACTTGCTTCCTGGGGGCTGGACCTACCTCTTGAAATAGCGGGGTTTAGGGAAGGTGCCAGTGGTCCCCGGTCTCGGTGAACGAGCGGCCGGGGCGGGTCCGGGCGAGTCTCCGTACCGCCGGAGCGCAGTCCAGAACTACTATTCCCAAAAGCCTCAAACCTGCAGACATACACAAGTTAGTACATTAATCATACCGCTCGATTCATGAGCTTCTAATGTCAAACTAGCTGGCTTCCAATTTAATTGCTTCTAACTGCCGGCAGCCGAGGCAACAGCAGTCAGCCGAAGGATCGTAAGGTATACAGAGTTCATTACCTAGGTACATAGGCATAAGTTGTAATTACACTATACAGTGTTGCAAGACAAGACGAAAACTGTAATTCGTGCATTTCCCTCACTTTCTGGGGTGCATACTTCTCAACCTAGGCCATTATATGGAGGGCATATGACTGCCAAAATGGGAGATATACGTCCATATCTAAATAAGACAGACAGGCCTCCAATCGAACTCCAATATCCTCACATCTGTTGACCCCAGCCTCCAATTTCAAAGTCAGGTACAATCCCATTCTCTTGAACAATCAGACCATCTCACTCCTTTCAAACCATAAAAGCAGCCCGTGCACAAATCAGGGGCCATGAGCCTTTTCTTGACCATTTCTGACATGATCTTCTAGAGAAGGATCTGGTACGATATTCCAGCCCGCATGCTGACCTTGACCTTCGGTGAAAGAGAATGGCGCTAAATAAACTCACAGCAGGCTGAAACACTTGTCCAAATCGAGTAATAGCTCGTCTGGGGCATCTCTGCGCGTTATTATTCCTTCACTGCAACTCTATGATGTTAATATCACTTCTCACTTTGCACTATAATAATTGCCGCATAGCATCCTTTCCTCGTTTATCTATATCGCTGATGTCATATTGTGAACTTGTTGTTGAAGTACTCATGTAGTTCGTTGCTCTCGTTCCGAATGTCGGCGATTCACGGCTAGCTTCAGTTCATCGTTGACGACTTTGGAAGGTTAGAGATGATTTCGGCCAATAGGATTTGATCCATATTCTGTTGGTAACTTCGTTTTACTTGGGCCAAGACGCACGTACATACAACCATCATCAAGGTCAAAGATTCTGCCGTACAACGTGATATTTCATTTTACTCGTAAAGTGTGCCTGCCCATGTCAACCTTAACTCCAATAGTAACAGGTATCCCAAACACCGAAATCCTTGCTAGACCTCATAGTTCCTCCTTGAAAGGTCATGCATCTGACTAGATCGCAACAAAGAAACTCCTTTCTCCCTCCTTGGGTAAAACTCTTGCCTTGCGCATAATCTCATCCTCACACGCCAATCGGATCCTTTCAGGCGTCGCTGGACTCTCGAGCCGTAGAAGCCCCTCACAAGAGTCATCGCCGATCGTAGCCTTTACTCCGGATTGTGCGCGAGCTGCCTTGAGCGCATCTCGAATAGCGAAGAAGACTGAACTTCCCATGAAGAAAGGCGGTTCACCCACACCACGGCTGCGTTGAATAGTACGTAACTCTTTCCATTCCACATCTTTGAGAAGTGACACGTTGAATGTTTGAGGAATATCTCGGAAACCTGGAATCTTGTATGCGCCAGGACCTCGTGTAAAGAGATGCCCGGCCATGGGACCGTTGCGTAGCCATAGTGACTCTTCCATCGTGAAGAGACCAAGACCTTGGATGAACGCACCCTGGATTTGGCCATAGTCGATCGCTGGGTTGATAGACTGACCAACATCCATCTTGATATCTGCGCGTATGCAGGTCCATGTTCCAGTCAGTAGATCAAGCTCCACTTCAGCTGCGGCAACTCCCTGAGTGAAGTAGAAGAACATCTTGCCCTTGCCAGTATTCCAGTCATATCCAATTTCGGGCGTCTTGTAGAAGCCTTGGGCAGAAAGATTGACACGATCGAAGTAAGCGGCATGGGCAAGATCCTTCATGGTCGCCTCTGGGCCCAGCTTCTTTCGATATGGCGCCAGTCGCTCGTTCAGCTGCTCACATGCGTTGAAAATGGCGTATCCGTTCAGATCTGACGAGGCTGAAGCAGCTGTTGCAGAGGCGTTGGCCACCGTATTGGTGGAAGTCTCGGAGATGAAGACATTGTCCAATGGAACACCCAGTGTTTGTGCTGCAATCTGGGTGAGCTTAGTATGCAAGCCTTGTCCCATCTCAGTACCACCGTGGGCCACCAAGACAGAGCCATCGTGATAAATGTGCACCAAAGCGCCAGCCTGATTCAGAAAGAGAGCGGTGAACGAAATACCAAACTTGGTCGGAATCAATGCCAGACCTCTCTTCCGCCACTTGTTCGTTTGATTGAAATCGGTAATGGCATGTCGGCGTGCTTCGTACATCGCCTCTTCCTGCACCTGCTTGTACATCAGGGGAACATGCCAATCCCCAAGACCTTGACCAAAATGAGTCTGGCCGTCCTTCTCGTACAAGTTGATCTGGCGCAGCGTTTCGACGGGCATTCCCAATCGGTCAGCCACCTCCTCCATGTACGACTCTGCGATGAACATGCCCTGAGGTCCACCAAACCCTCGGAACGCAGTGTTGGACATCGTGTTCGTCTTGCACAAGCGTCCTCGAATGTACACATTAGGAATATCGTAGCAACCATCGATATGGGTCATTGCTCGCTCGCATACGGCTGCACTGAGGTCGAATGTCCATCCTGCATTGTTGAAGACATCACAATCCAAAGCTTGGATCTTACCGTCCTTGTTCACTCCGATCTTGTATTTGCCAAGGAAAGGATGGCGTTGTCCGCTTGTAACCATGTCTTCCTCTCGCGACAGCATATATCGGACTGGTCTCTTGGTCTTCTTTGCCGCGAGCGCCAAGATGGAGCTGAGAATCACCGATCGTGACTCCTTTCCTCCGAAACCGCCACCCAGTCGTTTGACACGAACGACAACCTTGTTCGACTGTACATCGCAAACTCGCGAAGCGAATACTTGTCTGATTCAAGGGTTAGTATCTAATACTGGCAGAGCGGAAAAAACAAGACCTACGTTTCGTTGGCGTTCTGGGTACTGGCAAAGATCTCCATCTCTCCATCCTCAGGCTTGGGGACAACCAAGCAAGCATTGGTCTCGAGGTAGAAATGTTCTTGACCACCCATTCTTACTGTTCCAGTGAACACATGGTCACACTCCTTGAAAGCCTTCTCCGCATCTCCCTTCTTGATTTCTCTGTAGAAGTTGTGGTAGCTATCGGCTGCAATAGCATCCTCAATCGAGAGCACAGATGGCAAATCTTCATATTCAACCTTGACTGCTCGGGCAGCCTCCTGAGCTCGCAGAGGAGAAGTCGCCAGAACTAAGGCAATCGGTTGACCCACTGTCAGAACCTTGCCCTCAGCGAAGAAAACCTCGTCAAAGTGAGGTGCACCGAATTTGTTGGCATCCGGGGATGGCATGTCATCCTTATCAACAACATCAACTACTCCCGGAATATCCAAAGCAGCCGAGTAGTCGATAGAGATGATCTTGGCGTGTGCTCGTTTTGAAAGGACATAACAGGCGTGAAGCTCGTTCTTCATAGCAGGAATATCGTCGGTGTATTGCGCCTCGCCTGTTGTTTGCTTGAGGGCAGCCAGATGGGGGTTAGATTTGCCAGTCACTTCCTTCTTGTAAGCCACAGCAGCATCTTCATCGACTGCTCCACTGGACAAGTCTCGCTCAATCTCGTCAATAGCCTCCTTGTCGACCTGCTCCGAGCTTCCATCGAGGATCGTCAGAACGTCATGGTAAAATCGGTAGAAGAATCCAAAGGCCAAAGACTTCCGGTAAGACGCCATGCCACCCGGAACACTAAATTGCAAGTCAAAGTCGCGACCAAGTGCGTTCATGGTTCCCTCCAAAGTCTCCAAATCAGCAAACCGCCTGCCAACAAGGTATTCCATAGCTGTTTTGGCAGCAGCCGTCATGGCAGCCATGCCACCATAAATGAGGGCTGCTTCTTGAACGATACCTTCATCATCCAAGCGAACCCGCAGAGCTCCAGTAACAATCGCGATATCGTCATCCTTTCTCTTGGCTTGCTTGTACGCCCTGAAGTATTCGCCCTTGCTTTGAGTGACTGGAATTCGTATCGATGCAATGATCGCATCCTGTGCGAGTGCTGTCTTTCGATAACCCGTAAAGAATTGGGAAACAGGGATCTCTGTCTCCTTGGTGGACGACTTAGCCACTAACACAGCATTCGCAGCCCAGAATACGGGGTTGAGATCTGAGATTGGCGATGCTGTGACCAGGTTACCCGCAGGAGTACCAACGTTTCGAATTTGTCGACCAGCGAAGAACTTGAGCTGCTTGAGCATCGCCTCAAATACCTGTGCGCGTTCCCATCCATAATGAGGGATAGCATGCTCACAGATACTCTCAAGGTCAGTCAAGACAACATTACCACCAATCTCAAGGTGATCCTCCTTGAAAGTGTACTGCCGCAACTCAGCGATATCGCCAACATAAACCGACACAGGGTATTGCAAAGCCTTAAACTTTGTTTCGATCTGAGTTTCTGTGCTTCCACCGATAATCTTGGCCTGAGGGTGTGCACTCTTGATCTGCAGGAGTTGTTCAACGGTGACAGGGCGATACCATCTCCGTCTCTTGTTTCCGAATGCCAGAGGCCGTAACTCGTGTCTCTTGAGAGCCGGTGGGAAGATAAGTTCTGTGTCTGGGTTATACTCGATGAATCCTGGAGGCGTGAACCTTTTCTTAGGTGCATCATCAAGGTTTGCTTTGTCCATACAGCAACCTCCACTGGGTGGACCGTTACCGTTCTCCATGCAGCATCCAGTGCCCCCTGCTTTCTTAAACTTCATACCCGGCTTTTCAACACTGAACGTTTGAGCCGCATCTAGGATAGAACGGTAGCCAGTACATCGACACAAGTTGCCATCAAACGCCTCCTCGATATCATCTTTAGAGGGTGAG